TGTTTAAAAGAAAAGGTGAAAAATTCAACAAAAGTAAACCAAAAAAATCTAATGCTCCACCTAACCTAGAAAATGGAAACGAATCCTCTGATAGTGAATTAGATTTAAAGAAATTTTCCGACGCAGACGATTTGGAGAGCGATCACGAGACCGCAGAGGAAAAGAAGTTAAGGTTAGCAAAAAAATATTTAGAAGAAATTGAAAAGGAAGAGGCAAAAAGAGCAGAGTTCAAAGAGTTAGACGATGCTGTAGAAAAAAGGTTGCAAAAAGAATATTTGGAACAAAAAGGAAAATTGCGTCTGGATGTGGCAGACTCTTACGTTGCGCCAACTGAAAGTGATTGTAGGTTAATCCGTGCAAAGGAGCATCGCCTACCCATGACATGTGTTTGTGTAAGCCTCGAAGGACAGTTTGCGTTCAGTGGTTGCAAGACGGGATGCGTCATCAAATGGGGTATTAAGGAGAAAAGAAAATTGGGGTGTATTACATATAAAACACATTCCAATTTCCTTAAGGGAAGTGTGACATCTATTGCCCTGTCTTCTGACTCAAAGTTTTTGGCAACTTCTGATGAATCGGCTGGCATAAACATATGGGATCCTCACACAATGAAACATTTACACACATTTAAAGGACACAAAGATATTGTTACTGGATTGGCTTTTAGAAGAAATACACATGATCTGTATTCTGCAAGTAAAGATAGATCTATAAAAATATGGTCTTTAGATGAGATGGCATATGTTGAGACCTTGTTTGGTCATCAGTCTGCTATAACAGCTATAGATGCTTTGACTCGAGAGAGGGCTATATCAGCAGGAGGTCGTGACTCTACAGTCAGAATTTGGAAGATTGTTGAAGAATCACAACTTATTTTCAACGGTCCCATTGGCAGTTTAGATGTAGTGAAACTTTTGGACGAAGAACATTTTGTATCAGGAAGTGATAATGGTTCCATTTGCGTGTGGAGCGTACTGAAAAAGAAACCTCTTTGTACTGTTACAGAAGCTCACGGTTTAGAAAATAATGTTCCCAGATGGATTACTAGTGTAGCAACACTTTTAAATTCCAATGTGTTTGCATCTGGTTCATATGATAATAATATCAGACTGTGGAAAGTGTTTGAAGCATATAGGAAAATAACGCCCATGTTTAGTATACATGCAGAGGGTTTTATAAATTGTATGCAATTTACGAAGGATGGTACTCAGTTGTATGCAGCCATTGGCCAAGAACACCATTCAGGAAGATGGTTCAAAATGAACAATGCAAAGAATGGATTATTAATTGTAAATTTTAAGCTTAAGTCATAAAAAATTTAATAAATGTTTTAAAAGTAACATTTTTTATTTTATTTTCTCTTTTTTCAACATAATGAACTGCCTACATTTGCATAGTCAGCCTTTTGGACATTTCTTAAGTACAAGCTGGGTAGTGCTTGGCATCTAACTCATTTGTACTGAAAATACAAAGGTATAGATGTTAAGCTCATTGGTCCTTTGTATCATAAATAGCTATAGTTAAATATTGTTAAAGCTTACTACTTACTCTCTTATTTCATCAACATCATTATTATTTCAGACCATTCAAGACCACTGCTGAACATAGACTTCTCCCACATGCTGCCACGAAACACGTTCCTGAGCCACATGCATCCATTGACTTCCCGCACGTTTGCTCAGGTCGTCACTCCATCTAGTGGGGGTGGGGGTCGTCATACACTTCACTGGCCAATACGAGATTGACACTCGAGAATCTTGTTTCCCGTTCTCTTATTTGAAACACGAAAAAGAAATAGTAACTGACCTTGGCAAATTTTAATACAATGCTAGTGTTAAAACTGCAAACTTTTACGTACGAACGCTGGAAACAAAGGGATGGAGGTCTGCAGCTGAAACGAATTAAAGTATGTATTTTGCACTCCATAATTCATTTCGGCAACGTTGCTTCTAGCTTGACATCCTGCATGAACACTCCCAAAATTGTAAGATTTACACGAGCTACCATATAGCCTTTTTTTTAAATGATTCCTTATTATCTCTAGGTACAGTTGGTTGTGGGAAATTAACTACAACAAAAGAACCCGAGAAACTGGTTTAGGTTTTACTCATTGACTTGAAAGGATAAAATTATTATAACTATGGTAGCGCAACGTGTCCTTGCTGTTGTCGATAGTGTAATAGGAACGGGCAGGCTCGTAACGGATAATTTTTAGTACCGTTTCATGAATGGGTAGGCTCGTCCGGGAAAGCCTCACAGAAGAAAGATGTGAAGTGGAAGTGTTATAATTCTATGTTTCGTCTGGCGAGTCCCTACTCGCTAGGTTACCCTTAACCTAGACCTACTTTTTAAAGGTGACAACGCTTCCGCAGCACTATGGTTTTTACAGATGAACCGCCAGCTTTACTTGGCACCTTCTCACATGAAAAAATTTAGACAATGAAATATTGTAATTTGCAGCGTAGTTGTTTATGAAATCAGAAAAAGTTTCATAGAAGTTGGAATTTAGTAGAAATATGGTCGAAGCTTTTCGCCGCTGCCAGGATTTGTACCTGCGTCCTCTATATACGCACCCAACGCTCTAACCACTGAGCTAAGCGGCATATATTGACACAACATTTCAACGTATTTATCTTCTTAGGGTTTTCATTATCATCATCATTTTCATGGCATCATCTAGTGTAGTTGTATTCAATCTGCGGCTCGCCGGGCTTTTGTGGTTGGCCCATCTGGTGTTACTTTAGTTCAAACCATTTCTAATTTCGCGCCCATAAAAAAATCAGACCACCCTTAGAAATAGGTTCAACAACATTACCGTGATGCGGTGTGGAGTGCTATTAATGATACTGTAGAATATGGCGACACCTCATTTTAGTATTTCTATTTTCTTAATACTAATAATTGTTCGGATAAGCGATGTTTTGCATTTAGAGCTTTTAGTTCGGTATTGGGTGACCACAGGTTTGGATCAGACCACAGATTCCCCCTTTCATTGGCTCTAGAATTTTCATGTACAATCTCATCCAAAATAATGATTTTTTTTATTTTGTGGTTCTAGGTTTTTTGTTAGAATGTATCTAATATTTTACACGCTTTCTAATAACAGAACATTTCCAAACAATTCCAACATTTTTTAGCATTTGAAGCAATGCTTGGCGCATATAGGCCTATAGGATATAATAATGGAGGAGGAAATAATCAATATACAAATTTTAATGTTCAATCTCAAGTGCAGAGATTAGCACTATAAAAAATGTCTAAGAAGCAATGGCGACATCTTTCGTATGAATTATCGTTGTAAAACGATATTCGAAATTCTTTGTATACTGGAAAGAATATAACAATGGATGCGCCAAGCATTGCTTTAAATGCCTAAAAAAACAATGTAGATAAAAGACGTTAAGATTTTCGTCGATGTGGCAATCAGCCGTTTAGCTTAGTGGCTAGAGCACCAGGCCGCGAATGCCGAAGACGTGGGTTCGATTCCCACAGCGGCGACAATCTTTTTGTACTTTTTCTATAAATTTTAATGTTCAATCTCAAGTGCAGAGATTAGCACTATAATTTTTTTAATTGCAATCATTTTTATTTTTTTCGTGAGTCCGACTAGCAATTGTTAGGTATTCCATTCGAATGGAACGTGTGTGTGTCACACTGTTTGGAAATAGGAAGACTTTCGACTGATGATTTTGTATGCATATAAAATATCTATACCTAGTATACAGCGTGTAGTTACCATCGCGACAATAAATGAACACACATATAGGGGATAACTTTTTAAAGTTGTACATTTAAATTCTTTAAACATCAATATTTACAGTTATTAAATTTTCCAAAACAAAGAATTTTAGAACACCCTTACCTATAAAAGCGTAACGTAAAGTTCATTTGTGAAGGTCACGAAGCATATGAATGGGTTGAATGAAAAACGACAAAACATACTGTTAGGAGAGGCTTGTAATACGACGCTGTGGCGCGAGTTGTATAGGATGTTACAAATTTTGTTTCTTTTTTACTTAATTAGTTTGTTTGAAAAACATTTTTTTTAATTATGGATTTTGTTTAACGTTAATATTTTTTTAAGATTATAGGCAAGTAGCGTTAGACGTGTGTTCATTTATTGTCGCGATGGTAACGACACGCTGTATATCATTGGATTAGGGAAATTATTTAATGTGTTTAGTTTGGCATGATGTTTACAACAGTTATGTTCTTTGGTTTAATAATTGAAAACAAAATCAGGTATGAGAAATAAACAAGGAAATCTGGGCAACCTCATTCCTGCCATAAAATAAAACAAGTTTTTCGAATCCTAATTTTATTTAAGTTCATTACTCTACACTTACTAACTAACGTCGGATATCCTTGACCGGTAATTCTTCATTCTTCACAACAAATTATTGAGGGTGGCGTTGAAATCCTCTTCAGATACCTTTTCCTAAACGCACCTATATATGAAAATGACGTGTACTCCGAAAAAATGGCAATAAAAATATAGAAATCCTGAAACTTGGTCAACATGTGGACTGAAATTGGGCAGGGAGGGTGTTTTCTGCTGTTACCGATAAACCTAGACGAGCGCAACTGCAAATCACAGCAAACAGCACAGGAAACTGCCACAGCAAACAGGCCAGCGAGCAGCACCGGCCTGCCAAACAAATGATTATATTAGTTCCCATTAGGTTGATTGGTTGGTTGTTTGGTTGCCACTTGTGTCTACTATAGCTCTTTTTTACTTTTCACCACTATTTTTATCTTCCCTAAGTTTACAATTTGATCGATCAGATATTTGCTCAAAATAAATGGTGATTTTCGTACAATCTGGGTTTAACAAACCACCTATTGAAACAATATGTACTGAAGGTATAAGTGACGCTTATACAAGGCGGCCACAACCATGTCTAATGCATACCGACCGCAATGCTTGTCTCGGTTCATCAAAAGTATAAAATTTTACTCATAACTTATGCACTGCAACAACAGCAAATCAGCAGTTGTCAGCAATCAGCAAAACCCCCCCTTCCCGCAAACCGCTCGCACTCCCCGCATACTCCACGCCCTGAGCATACCAACATTGAAGTTAATATTTCACAGGTATTTGCAAACATTTATGAATCATATGATTCTGGTAGACTAACATAGCAAACAGGTCTTAGGGTTAAAATGTTATTATGCCATTTAATAATAATTTGTTCATAAAGTAGACCTGCTGTTATATGTTTTTAAAATAAATTAATTTAAACTATGCAAAGAAAAAATATTTGTAGATGTGTTTAATGGAATTAGTTACCACATATGAAGTTGTGCCATAATATTTCCCAATTTAGCCCACTAATCCCATGGGTGTACATGATCTTCTTGGTTTTTAGATATACATTAAACCTGAAATAATATCTTATGACTTTTGGAGTCATCTCAGTACCGATTAATTACATACACAAACTAGTAAAACACATTTTTGAATAATCTCTATTCAATGCAAAATTACAGATTTTTGTTTTACATTTGTAAACCAATATACATGAACATTGAAATAACTGAAATAAGGACGAAACACTGAATGTATGAATGTTTTTTTTAAGTTAGCATATAAGTTGTAATACTTTATGTTGCATGAAGAAAATGACAAAAAATTACATACAATCATTACAATACTTTATCTAAATTATAGAAACTTAAAACTAAACAGTTTGTTACAATTAATTTTTCCGCTATGTCTGTCATAGGTAGGTCTGAAGTTGCTTAACATAAAGATGAACTCTAGTACCTTGCCAGGGGCTGGTTGCTTTGGATAGTTTGACACAGCAAAATAAGCTCCCGGCTGATACATTCATCCAATCTGCAAAGAAAAGTTAGTTTCAAGAACAGTCTACAATGAGAAACCTCCCATCTTAAAGTTGATAAAAAAGGAGAACTTAGTCACAAGAATGGTTTCTGCACGAGAAACACTTGTCATTCCCTAACCTTTTGTCATCAAGCAGCATTGTGATCAGTCTTTTGAGCTGGTATATTTGCCACCTAACACTACAATTTTCCAATGCCATCCAGTGAATGTACCAAGATTACATACCCAATACACTGGTTACTGTCGGGTCGAGACTGCAACTATATAAAACTACATCATACAAAAAAAAAAGGAAAAAAAGAACCAGGCTGGTACCACAAATGATTTCTTTAATATCACTAAAACAAAGAAAACGGTCGAGACTCACCTGACACCTCAGTGCCTTGAGCGCGAGCGAGAACGGCTGCGAGTGTGCGAGCGGCCGCGTGAGCGTCCTCGCGAGCTCTTCGAGTCCGAACGGGAGCGTGAGCGAGAACGGGAACGGCTGCGCGAGTACGAGCGGCGCTTTGAACGAGAGCGAGAACGGGAGCGACGCCGCGAACGGGAACGCGATCGGGACACACTGCAAGAGAATATTGAGCTGTTTTACATTCACTCATTAGATAGGTCACAAGCTGGAAGAGATCTATCAGCTTCTAACAAACTTTTGTGCACAGGTTTTATTTTAATTAATTTAATTTGTTTTTTTTTTTTTTAAATGCCCTTACTTTAGGATTACATTATCCTGTGTTGTCAAGATGTTTCACAAACATAAATTTCACGTGGACAAACACGCATATGCGAAACAACTACCTGTGGGTCACACAAATAGTTGTCCCGTGGGAATCGAACCCACGACCCCTGACGGTGAAGCCAATACCTTGACAACTGCTCCACAAAGTCATCAGGTGCAACAAGAAATCAATTTTATTTAGGTGAAATGATAAAATTAACTTCACAAGTTCTTTTCCTTTTAAACCCCCATCGAAGAGGAGTATAGAAAGAATTACATATCTGTCTACAGTCTTAGGAATGTTTCATTCATCCAACTATTGTCTTTGGTAGTAAATTAAATGACAACTTAATTTTTTTTTATGTGAGAAGGTGGCAAGCAAGTAGCACGCCGTCCTATACAGAGCAGAACATATGCAACAGTCATAGGCTTGTAGATGCCTTGCCACCTTTTAATAAAGTGGGCACCTCACACATGTGCAGCGTGAACTGTTGCGTGGTCTTACCCCAGTAAATTCCACCCACCGAATTTATGTACATAGGTATACAGAGAATTATGAAATTAAAAGGAAAAAAAAAAAAAAACGACTACATTTTAACAAGGGCGGAGGTGCAAAATTTTTCGTTTTAGTTTCTTTTTACAGCTTTCATAAACAAAAGATGATAATATAATAGAAATTTACTTTCTTATGGCAAATATGCGATGGATAATGTCAATCTTCGAATAACAAAGATTGAAACCAATGTCCTTGAAAGGTAAATGATATGTATAATATTTGGGCAGTACTCGTGGAAAAGGGTAAACATACAAAATTAATTTTTAGATGCAGGTTCTTACTGATAGCATAGCAATATTCATACTATTATAATGCTTACCTGCGTCGACGATCGTAACGACTTCTGTATGGTGACGACGGGCGTCCATACCGCGCCATTTGTACACGAAGCTCCCTGCCATCTAACATTCTTCCGTCTAATGAATCTAGTGCTTCTTCAGCATCCCGCCTATCAAAGAACCTAAAAAATAACCTTTAATTATACCATGTGCTCTAGTTATGAAATTGAGGAAAACTACTTAGATATTTTTTACATTACCTTACAAAGGCAAATCCTCTACTTTCACGAGTGTAACGATCTCTTGGGATATAAATATCACCAACATCGCCACACCTCTCGAAAACTCTACGTAGATCTTCCGGTGTCGTGCGATATGTTAAATTGTCTACTTTTAATGACACCATGCCATCTATACGTGGCGGCGGCCTGCCGTAACTCATTTTAATATTATTTGAAAACTTTCAACAATAAAATAAGTTCGACGAAAACGTACAACAAGTCGCGCAACGCAATAATGGCGGTCAAGATGGCGTCAGCGTCACTAAAATTCCACACTTTCAATGTAGTTGTAGGCGGAAGGAAAGCGTCCGCGTCGTAGCTTTGTAAATCATAGACTAAAAAATTTTTCGATTTAGATTTATAGATATCCTCTGGAGAAGTGTGACCAGGCTTAAAAATGTATATTCAAAGTATCAAAATGAAAGTAAATACTGTTGGTCCATCGAATAATTTACAACGTTATTAAGAAAAAAAAAAAAATGTAATTTATGTGCATAAATAAGACAGATACAAATTATTTATTGATATGTTACTGAATATAAGTTGACTTTTAGAATAAAAAAGAAGCATCGTATGAAAAATGTATTCTATCCGTCGTCATGACAATGAAAATATGTGTTGAGTTTTTGAATAAAGCCGTGGAGTACGACCGTGTGAATGAAATAAATCGAGTAAATTACTAGTAACCTTCCTCAATATGTCCGGTGTAAAACAAGTTAGAAATAAGAAGTTGCTACCAGATCTAAGCAAGGAAGGACGATTCTCTAAAGACATAGTATTGTCAACAAAGGAAAAACACGGAGTTCCTACAGGCTCAAGACTTTTTTCACATCATACACTAGCCAGCGTAAGAAGACTAAGCTTTTATCATCCGCTGGCGTATGTTATATTAACACGTTATTTTGTCGTCATTTTTGGCAGTAAACAATATAAATACAAGTTATCATATGGTATCTCGAACAAGGTAGACAAAAATAGATAGGTAGTCCTAAATTACAAAACAAGAATCCTAGACGGAAGTCTAAACTTGATAGCATCTGGAATAATCACCAAATGCCAGTTTTTGTTATTTTATGTATTATTCTTAACGTTAATAATATTTTAGTTATTTTGACCATTTTTATGCTCCAACAGGCTCCTTCAGACAAAATTCAACCTAAAAATATCCAAAGAAAAGTTATATCCAATTCTGCTAACATAGTTAAAATACTGATTGGATTATTATTGTTTAATGAATAAAACAAAGTTGTTTGGTTTAAATGATCAAAGGTTTTTGGTTTATGCAGCATTCCAGAGGACAGTTTGGATATAGTGCTTGCAGCGACATATGACCACTCTACAGAACATTTTGCTGATAAAGAAGATTTGTATCTACAGTGCGAGACTCTTGGTATCGAAACTTGGAGGAGATTGAGGAACACGATCGATAAGCGACCGCCAGTAGTCATACCATTAGTAAGTAGTTGTAGTTTATAAGTGTTACGCATCCATGATTATGAGTGATACGTCCTAAAATTTTTATTAAATGGCCGAATAATTATATCATAATGGCCTTGTTACCAACATTTAAAAAAAATACACATATGGTTAAAAACAGATATGATCAATTTTTCGTATTAATACTGAATCACTACTTACAAGTTTAAATTACATAACCAGATTCAACAAATAAATAATTTACATACAAGCCTGATTGGCGCTCAAAGAATCTCAAACTATAAAAAGCTTTTTTAAATATTTTTTTTCAGTAGACGGGAAGCCCACTATAAAAAAGAAAATTTATCATCTGCAATTTTGCAATATGCTCTCACAGGCGTTGGATTGGAGATGTCTATGGGCGGATCTTTTTTATATTAATTTAGCCGCCTGGTTGCTTGCCATTCTCGTGCATATATATACAGCGTGTCTTTACCATCGCGAAAATAAATGAACACACATATAGAGGATAACTTTTTAAAGTTGTATTAAACATTTAAATTCTTTAAACATAAATATTTACAGAGTTATTAAATTTTCCAAAACAAAGAATTTTAGAACACCCTTACTTATAAAAGCGTAACGTAAAGTTCATTTGTAAAGGTCACAAAGCATATGAATGGGTTGAATGAATTTAAAAGAGACTGTTAGAAGGAGAGGCTTGTAATACGACGCTGTGGCGCGAGTTGTATAGGATGTTACAAATTTTGTTTCTTTTTAACATGATTAGTTTGTTTGAAAAATATTTTTTTTTTAATTATGGATTTTGTTTACCGTTAATATTTTTTTATGATTATTAGCAAGTAGCGTTAGGCGTGTGTTCATTTATTGTCGCGATGGTAACGACACGCTGTATATATTATATATATCGTATTTTTGTGTTTCTTATGAAATATATTGATGCGCAAAAAGTAACTATGACAGTAAACCAGTTGTAATTCATTATTCTTTTTATTTAGGGTCACCCAATGAAGCGCGGCGGCATCACAGAGAGAATCTCACCTTTTAGTGTAAAACTCATGAACTCTGGCGTCCATTCGTCGCAGACCAACCCCGGTTACAGCAGACAACCAGCTGGAGGGGCTATTTTCTTCTACTAAATATTTTTGTATAATCTGTATTAATAAAACTATGACTCTGCGGTTTTTGTTAAGCGTTATTTTACGAAATATCACTGTCCTCATTCACCTTTACTGGGCGTTTTTGCCAGTGGACCCACCCTACTTGCAGCAGCAACCATTATTACAATCCATACGGCGTTTCTGTATGACGTATGATTTTGAACCACACTTCACATTTATACAACGACACTCCCACATTAGATTCCCAAGTACATTTTTAAGCGATAGTTTCGAACGAACGACCTATTATTTAACGGCTATCAACCGCCTGAAGCGTATGTTGGGTGAATTTACCGCGAGAAATACGAAATTTATATTTATTATGATGAATTTAAGTAGCTATCTATATTTTTGAGATTTTCCGACCAATTTCTTCACTGTGGTAGGAACGCGCAACAGTCTTCACTGTTGCACAAATGGGCAGGTCCGTTCGGGGAAGTACCACTGCCTCACAGAAGACGGGCGTGAAATGGAAGTATTATACATTCGCGTTTCGTGTGGTGAGTGAGGTAGCCGAGGCCCACTTTATTATAAGGTGGCAAGGCATCTGCAACCTTACGGTTGTTGCTACTGTTCATGTTTGGCTTAACATCAGGAGAACCGCGAGCTGACTTGCCACCTTCTTCCATAAAAATAAATGAATAAGACAAAGTATTGAGTCGGAACGATTTATTTTCCATTAGCAATCGTTTCTATTCTCTTCATTTTATGTAAGCTTAGGCAACCTTTTCAGTTTACATTTTCAACCTTACAAACAGGCATACATGTAACATATTCTTTTTTCATAAAAAAAATAATAAAACTTCTGGCATAACAGCGATTATAGAAAAATTGACAATAAGACAATTCAATTACCTTCAAAATTTATGTTTTTCATTTTGCTAATTAACTAATATGCTTAAGTGATATAGACGTATGCCACGAACAAATTTTGCTTAATTATCAGTGCTAGAGAATTTTAATGGCCTACGTGGAAGCACGACGTAAGTAAGAAATAGCGATATAATTGTGAACAAAATATTATGCATTATAAATTTTAGTTCCTGGCCGTTTTCGAACATAATTATTTGGAGACTCATTATGTACCGTAGTTGATTTGTGTTTTTATGTTTTGCTTACTGTCTCTTGCACACATAATTTAGTAAAACGCAAGGCTAAAATTTTACCATTTTGCCTTTTTACTCTGCCATGAAGCACGATCCTCAGCCACCTGCATCCATCGACTAAAAGCTACAAATTTATAATAGCAACTATTTTTGCTAATAAGGTAAAGTTCACTAATCAAATAAAATAGTGAACTTTTAAAATCGTTTTTTTTGCTAATAAGGGTAAAGCAGAATTTCTTATAGTTTTCGAGAAAAAAGAAATAATCAAAATAAAATAGTGAACGATATTCCGATTTTTTAAAATCGTTTTCTCATCGTTCGTTTCTTTTTAAATCATTCAGTAATCTTATCACTAATTATCTACTGATTGACAAAATAAGTAACTCTGAGATTTTTATTAACTCTCTCAATATCTTTTCTAATTCTATAATAAGTTTCCGAGTATAAAAATGAGTTTTTTTATCGTGAGAAGTTGGGAAACGAGCTGGCAGTTCACCTCATGCTAAGTGATAACCGCCGCCCATTGACATTTACAATACCCGTAGGGTAGCAGATGCATTGCCACGTTTTAATAAAGTGGGCCCCGGCTAGCTCACTCACAAGACCAAACGCAGAAGTATAACACTTACACTTTACGCTCGTCTTTTGTGAGGTCGTGGTACTTAGCCGGACGGATCTGCACATTCGCGCAACAGCCGAAACTGTTGTGTAAGTAAGAGAATGACGCTTCAATTTATAGAGACGTGTACCATGCGTCTATTGTTTTGTTTCCTGTATAAAAACCTTACGTTGATCAAAAACGATATCCGATCTCCACTAGACTCGGATCCGAACAAGAGGGCGAAGCGGGTCCGGTCATGGTATTTGTACGAGCAGTACAAGTCGCTGGAGAGCAACCAGCTGCAAGCGGCCAGGGCGCTCAAGGACAGGTCTAGCCAGGGCAGGATTCTGCACCGGGAACTGCGCGAGCGCAGGGCGCGCCGAAGGCTCTGCGACCAGTTCGGCGCCTGCCAGAGCGAGTCGATACTGCCCAGGGGCGCGAGCAGCGACACTGGGACCCTCGCGAGCGCCAGTACCGACGACTTCATAGACAGCCTGTGCGACGTGCACGCTTCGGACGCCACTATAGTCGGCTCGGACCGGACCTACAACCTGCCCTTCGGCGGGCGGCCCGAACTCGACGGAAGAGCCGCCAATTACGGAGGGGACAACGACTCCGACGAGGAGAGGGAGGTGGACAGCTTAGTCCGAGATGGTTCCGAGCTGGTCAGTGATAATGTCGAAGGTGTCCATGCTCGACTAGACCTGGCGCAGCAGGAGGCGCCGATGATAGGGGAATCCCTCGAAGAACTGTCGATGGCATCTGTCAAGCTGTGCAAGCCGTGCAGAATGTCTGAGCACGATGGCAGCTTTTCTACTATGTGGACCAGATTAGTCGCCTTCGCTTATCAAGTGTTACGCCTGAACCGTGGTAAGGTTTCAAGGCTTGTTGTTTTTTTTTAATGGAAAGCAAAACATACAGCCAATGTATACTATAATTTGGCCTAATCATAATAATTGCTTTAACAATAATTTACAAAAAATATTTCTACAAAAACGATAGTACAGCGATCCATTAGATATAATGAAATGCCAAGATACAAAACTCCACACGATTGGACCAAACGTTGTGAAAACCTAGATTAACAAAAAAGTTATTTGTGAACTGATTTTGCCTACTGCATGTCGCTGTATGTAGTCTAAATAGAATTCATCAATGCTTTCGAATAACTCCGTTAATTAATAATTAATTGTCTTAATGTTAATTTTAGTACCAACTGGGAATATGTAATTAACTAATTGTTAAAGTAACATCGTTCCAAACAATTTAGCTCCGTCCACATTCCTCCGAGGGATTGAAAGAAAATATATCTTTTATAGGATTTATATTGGTTTTCAGGAAACTGCTACTATGATTATAGCTCTCAAGTCATGACTGCAGTGTTGGCCTGCGACATACTCTGTAAAGGGCTTAATAAAATGTGTAAGTTTACGCAGCGGCTCTGTTTAAAATATTCTTTTAATTTCATCGTGAAGAAAAGTATGTACCTATGTAGGTATTTTAAAACGTGATAAATTAAAAAAAAACACTATGACTAACACATTGTTATTTACTCAATATTCATTTTGCTCTCGAGATATAAAATGATAATCTTGGGTGTAGGGATTGTTAACTGATTAGGTATATTTGAACGATTGAAATGCTCGCAGTAATTTTAATCACTACACGGCCCCCTTGTGGGTTTCAAATAAAGTACAATCCATTTCTTTTCTTTTAGCATTATTAATGATTTTAATGTAAAGTCAAATATTGTCTTGCGTGTGGGACATGTCCATCAAATTTTCATAAGATGTTTAACTTAAGACTGGCGATTGGCTAGTGTTCGAGAGCAACTAAAAATGCTTTACAAGTGAAGGCTCTTTCAGGTACAACAGTTTCGGCGCAATGAGTATCAATTAAACAATTCCAAGCATTTATTTACGTGGAATCCATTTTAAATCGCAGGTGGTAGCCATTTTGTGAATTGACATTATCAACCGTCCTTTACAACTAATTCAATTTTAGGTGATATTTTGCAGCCTTACGTTACGCCAATTAATTTTGAAACAGACGTCTCCGAGGTGTGCAGAGATTGTTATTTGAGAACAAATAACGAACGAGCGATTGACTCAAAATTCTTAAGAAAATACATAAAAAACAAGGCATGGTTACCTATTAGTATATATACTATTTAGTTATATTGTTATTTTAATTATTTTCACTTAATTATTCTGTCACTGGTAGACACAAAAAACTAATGTAAAAGCAGCTTTTTCCTTTTAATCACCCGTTAAGTTAAGAATCTTTTTACGTTCGTATAACTTAATAATTTGCATTATGGTAATTCATCTTACGGCTTTTATTTTATATTTTTTATTCATGTTTTTGGTTAAATCTAAATTTTTATTACAGTCACATTCAACCAACGTCCGAAATCACAGAGAGCTTAACATAAAAAAGCTCCAGAGTAAACGGCGTGTTATTAAAAATCAAAGGATTAAAACGAATGGGAGGAAGGAAAGTGCTGCCAGATGTTACCGAAATATAAATTCACCTAATTGTGAAGTCTTTAATATGGAGTTAGAGGATTACACTCGGAGAAAACAATACTGCAACAATCTTATTTGTCATCGCGATAGCTACATTGATAATCCAATGATTAAACTGTGCCAATATATAGATATCATTATGAAAGATCTCGAAGACTAAATTGTGTTTATAAATTTATCTTGTGAAAACGTGTAACAATGCTTTGCAATAAATGTGTTACATTTCGTTTGCATTTCATTAAACATCACCATGGAATCACAATGGAATGACGGCCATTGGAGCTTTTAAAATCTTATACCTGCGTTATATAATTTTATCATCACTTGCTTGTTTCGTTTTATTTACTGAGCAATGCTGAGCAACAACAGCTTACAAAACTGTCCTCTACCCTCTAGTAGGGGAAAGAGCCACGGAATCACAGGAGCCTGGTACGAAGTAAAAGAATATATACTCGTCAATCTTTCCTCATTGACAGGTGCTTTGAAATGAGAAATCTATTAGTCAACGAACGTTTTATTCGCAGACATATATTAAACAAAACGAAGTTCGAACTGATTCTGTTTTTGTCAATTATAGTTTATGTAATGCATCGATTTTTATTATAAAATTTGCCATTGTATCCAAATATCACAGGTTTTCTGCCACATACATTATGAACAGTAAACAGTCTATTAACAAATTAACCTAATCTAACTATAAAAACCTACTTACATTATTGATGTTCTGTAAATCTATTTATATATATAATATTATTCAAAGGAAAGTCCACAATAAAGTACTTATTTACATATACGATGAATATAATGGTTTTGATGTTTTTCCAAAAAACATATTAACTACTTACGAACTTTAAATAATTTATTTCGTTAGTATGGTTATATTATAGTTATATTTAAAATAAATCATTCAAAACTAGATCTCATTTTCAAATTGCTAAATTTACTGATAATAGTATGACATTATGATAACATGATGATAGGTCGCCACTATAGCAACCATGAAGAACCAAGAAAGTGATGCGAATGGCAAAATATCATAACGGAGAAAACGTTGCGCTGATATAGTTTTGCTTGGTTTTGGTTATGGGACGTTATAGTATAAATATACATATTATACAGTCTTTAAATGTTACAACACCTTTCTGTAACACCCTGTATACAGCGTGTCGTTACCATCGCGACAATAAATGAACACACATATAAGGGATAACTTTTAAATTATTTAAACATCAATATTTACAGTTATTAAATTTTCCACAACAAAGAATTTTAGAACACCTTACCTATAAAAGCGTAACATAAAGTTCATTTGTAAAGGTCACAAAGCATCTGGGTTTAATGAATTTAAAAGAGACAAAACATACTGTTAGAAGGAGAGGCTTGTAATACGACGCTGTGGCGCGAGTTGTATAGGTGTTACAAATTTTGTTTCTTTTTTACTTAATTAGTTTGTTTGAAAAATTTTTTTTTTATTATTTTTTAGATTTTGTTTAACGTTAACATTTTTTTATGATTATTGGCAAGTAGCGATGGTAACGACACGCTGTATATTGGGGTAAATTGTTAATATATAGGTACGTTATAGTTGGGGTAAATTGAAACGGTATATTTTTTTTACTCTTTATTACACAATCATCTGTACAACTTATTTAAATTATAACATTGATTTAAGTTCCGAACGTTTAAGAAAAGATCATACATATGTGGATCAACCTATCACCACGGAATTCCTTACATAATCGTTATAAAAAGCGAAAAAAAAAGTATACAGCTTTATTTGAATTAGAAAATATTTTTTTTAAGTTTATTATACGCTAGAACATATATTCTAGCGTCATATGTGTACACAATAAAATGTAAAAAGAATAACATAAATAACAGAAAACGACTCGCGACCGACGGACCTTCGTAGTCCATAATTTCGCTCAATAGCTTTAAAACCATTCCCATTCACCAGGTCTGTTTTCCCCGTAGACAATTAATAACTATTAAAAAAGGCACTATTGACCACGCAATGCCAGAGCGAGTGAGGAAATACCAACAGATAAAATATCAAGTACAAATAATTGTTTTACTTGTATGAACGCCAAGTGCACTTTCGCTACCTACTTATTCTGTAAGAAAGAGTAAAAATCAGTGTGCTGTTACAAATTTCGACATCGATTTCGCGTAAACGATTTTAACGAAGTATGCTGAAAAGAGTAATCGGTATTTTTTTTTAATAAGGAATACAAATAATGATAAAAAATTTAGTGAGTTGTGCGTACGCTCAAGATTCAGTTGGTTAAAAAAAGAGGCATATCATGAAGAAAATGCTCCCACATTTTCTTCATTTGATTTTTTTTTTACAAAACTCCTATGAGATACAGATTCATGAAAATCAATGTATAATTTGTCTATTCTGGAACATATTATTGGAATTACCATCATGTTCCTTTACACCGTAACAACATATCAAAGTAAATAGTTTATGTAGTTGTGGTTTATCATTAATGTATATTTAAAGTTCTATGTATAATCTAATTTTCTTTCTTTCTGAGAATAATTTATTCCTACCCTAATCAGAATAATAAAAAACCTGTTCTATCACATTCACTTTCTTCAGTGAAGAAATTAGTTCCATTTGTTTTCCGCAACATGGCTAGGTTTTTTATTTTTCTCAACAGGTTATGTTATGTTCATATTATTATAATAAGAAAAAAAAATGTTTAGGGTATATTTCACTATAACAAAATAACTGATGATATTGAGGAGAAAAAGAATTAGGTACTTAATGAGTGTTACAATCTTTTTGTAACATTTGGGAGTGAACAACTGTGAAGATTTACTTTAATATAACTGTTTAAGTGTATGTGTTTGTGTAAATATTAAGTTTTTAACCGGCAATTGAATAATAAACACAATAAAATACCGCACTGGGATAATTGAATTGCCTTAAATAGGTTAGTTTAACATGTTTTTTTACATTTATTTTGTTTTGAATTTTTTTTTGAATTATTTTATAGATTCTTTTAATATGGGCCGCTACAGATCGCTCCAGTTATTCGATGAATATTATTTCATGTTTCAAAATACTAACTATAGACAAAATTTTTAATTATACAAACACATATACAATAATTGACACTATGATGGCTTAAAAGCACTCTGAGTGTCGTTTATGGAAGTGGCTATAAAATTATTCTATTTTTTTTTAAAAGTAAACCTGACACTGAGATGCTCGCAAGTCATCTATACTAATTCGTCCAGACAAAGGCTGGTTAGAGTCATCTTACATCCAAATTCTATAAATAAAAAAAGATAGCAGGTTTATTTTACTCAAATATCCTCCAGTCTAACCTACAGAATTTTTTAGCGCCATGAATATTTTTTTTAATCCATCTCAATTATAATAACATATGCTTTAGGGCCGATTACCATCAAAAACAGTTGTATGTTCATCCATTCAAATCCAAAATTTGTTTTTTTATAAATATTGTTTGATACTGGGCGGCTAGTCAAATGTAGCGAAACACCAAAAACATGGTGTCCACAAAGCATCTCTTGTTGGCCATGGGAATGGTCCACCAAGAGAAGTTAGCGGCCTTCGCACATTATAACTGACCTCCCAAAGGTGGTCATAGTGGCATCGCATAGAAAAGAATTTCCCAAAAGGTCACATCACTAGTGATTCGAAAAAAAACGAGTACTCTACGGGGAGGAGCGGAATAGAAAGCGGGTCTATGATGACTCTAGCGGATCCATTCGTCCGGACGCGAATTGAGCTAGTTGCGCCTAATTTTCCGGCGGGTTGTCGAAGTAGTCTATCTTGGGCTCCGCTGGGGCAGGGCGCGGCTGGCTGCGCGAAGCCCACGCGTTTGTGGAGGTGAGCGTCGCCCAGGCACCGGTTGTCCTGCTGAATATAAAAAAAGGGCCTTACACAAATAGTTCGGCAAAAACAAATGTTAAAACATGTAGAAAAAGTACGAAAAGATTGTCGCCGCTGTGGGAATCGAACCCACGTCTTCGGCATTCGCGGCCTGACGCTCTAGCCACTGAGCTAAACGGCTGATAGCCACAGCGACGAAACTCTTAACGCCTTCCTTCTACATTGTTATTTAGCATTTGAAATGGTTTTATCTTCATTTAAAGCAAAACAAAAAATTTGCCTTAAATGAAGATAAAACTTCAACTTCTTGACATTCACTTATAATTCCAAGGTATTAAATTCATTCAATGTCTTCTTTTCACAATCACACCTGTCGGCCCACGACATAACATTTTTGGTAATTTTTCCTTTAAAATTTGTAGAAAAATTATATTTTAATTTTATTACGCTAAAGAAGTATAACTTCTCACGAGCACGCGTAAGTACACAGACTCGATTTTCTATATTTATATGTATAAATAGAACAAAATTTACATTCCCCACATTGCGATAGTGAAACATTCAAAGCGAGTATTGAACATTAAGTACCTTGTCGATGTAGCGGGCGTAGCAGTGGGAGGGACGTGCGTAGCGGGGGGCGGGGCGCGTAGCACCGGCCCGGGGACGCGCCTCTTTCCCGCCTCCCTCGCCAGCACCTCCAGAACGCTCATCGCCGGCAGCCACGACTGGGGTTCCAAGACGGTTACCATAGCAACGCAAACGACATTGGCAAAACGCGCGCACGTACACGCACGCACACGCACACACTCAATAGATATAAACAGCACTGCAGTACAGTCACGCTTAATTCCAAAGTGCGCCTGTGTGAAGTCGATGGGGAAGTGTGCGTGCACTTGTCCTAAATTTAAGGAACTTTAAAAATGACTATATAACTATTAATATATTGTATGTATGGGGAAATCCGAACACGTTGAACTGTTATAATAACGATGGCGTAGTGGATAGTGACCCTGTCTCTTATTTACGCCGGAGGGTGTGGGTTCAGTCCCTACTGAATACTATGGTGTAATGAACATAGTGGTTTTCTAGTGTCCAGGAGTTTCTAAATCTATAATTTACAAAAATAAAGTATGTTTAAGTACATGTATCAGTTGCCTAGTATCCATAGTACAAGCTTTGCTTAGTTTATCTAGTATTAGTAAAGCTTGTAAAAATGTGTCACGAAATATTTACTATTGGGGATATTTATTTATATCCTTACTTGGTTGGGTTTATAAATAAAAATAAACATATACATATGTATTGTCTATAATAAATAAATTGATACATAGGACCCAACCAGACGGAAGCACTCAGCAGGGGAGACCAAACGGCCGAGGGTTAGGGCGTAAGGGAGAGAATCGGTCGGACAATATCCAAGAGCAACCTCTTCTGCATTTGAGCTCGGAGCGGAGTCCCAGTCGTCTCAGATGTTCGGAGAGGCTGACTGGGCTGACTAACCCATTGGCAGAAACGACTATCGGGATAATTTCGGTCGACACACCATCCCACATGTCGGTCACCTCGTGAGCCAGGTCCTGATACTTCGTCTTCTTATCTGTTTCGGATTTCACGAGGTTTTCGTCAATGGAATGGTAATGTCGACCAAAAATAACCGCGACTGTGCCCGATCCATCAACACGATATCAGGTTGTTCGCGAAAATCGTCCTGTCCGTGATGATGGACCGGTCCCAATAGAGCCTGGCGCGGTCATTTTCGAGCACGGCCTCCGGAGAGTACTTATAGTACGCCAGTTTCCGTTCCACGAAGCCGTATTTCAGATCGAGCTCCTGGTGTAGGATTCTGGTTGTGTCTATGCAGATACTTAGAGTTAGAAAGCATGGAACAACCAGAGATAACATGTCGAAGCGACTCCCCGGGATGTCGACAAGCTCGACAGATATCGACGGTGCCATCCCTTAGGATGTATTTCCGATAGTTGTTCGTCTTAATAACTTGATCCTGTATCGCACAGACAAAACCTTCGGTTTGCCCAAAGAGGTCACCGAAACGTAGCCAGTTAAGGGAGGCAACAGTATCTACGAAAGGCTCGTGTAGAGCCTTGTAGAACCTCCCGTGGAGCTCTTTCTCCTTCCATACGGCCTCTCGGTCGGAAACGCTCGGTACTCCCGGGTCCTGCCATTGCTCATTGGCTAAGGATAGAGCGGTAAGTCCTTTATCACAACTAATCACGTCCGTGTAGATTGACTCATCCGATCTCGCCAGGAAGTAGTTGCGGAGGCTGCACACCTCGCGATTATGCATGGTGAGGGCGCTTAAAAAGCCCCTCTCGCCATGCTTCCGCGGCAGGTACAGCTCATCACTGACAATCTCGGATGATGCATTCTGTGGGACGTTATAATTGTGCGGACTTTTCGGTCCAGGGCATTGAGCTCAGTTTGAGTCCACCTGAGTATGCCAAAGGTATACATGAGGACTGGCATGACCTAGCCGTTAAATGCGCGCGCCTTGTTCACGCCTGACAAATGGCTGTTAAACACCTTTGTCAACGGGCAAAAAACACGTCACGAACTGACTGATTCATTTCAGCCTCATCCACACACGTTTTGTGACATTTGTGACATGTAACACGGAGGGCATAGATAAATCTCCCTCCCTATATATGCCCTCCGTTTTAGTGACCCTTTCGACATGGAGGCCCGCACACTTATCCGTCCCGAGCTCCATTTTGATAGAATTGCTGAAATCACAGAAGACTTTAAGTAATTCCATCAAATGTGTCGTTATGAAAGTTATGAACCTATGTAACTAATGGCTGTTCGTTGAATATAGGAACCGGGCATTAGTAATGAATAAGTAATAACTATTAATATTATTATTATAACCTTTTCCCTGTCTGCGGTGGCGACCACGTTTCTGTTCGGCTCCGCGTCGTAGGCGACACTCTCGCAGCCGAAGTGCTCGCAGAGCTCGTGGATGAACTGCCTCTTCTGCCGGTTCATGGAGGGGAACGAGTGCGCGCGGGTCTTCTGCTTCGACTGTAACGTTTAAGGGTTTTGTTAGGTACCGCTCGTCACCGTTGGTGTATTTTATGTACGGTGCAATAGAGGGCGTCAGTTGCATGTTTTTCTTCTTCTGTGAAGTCGAGGGACCTGTCCATTTGTGCAACAGCGAAGGCTGCCGCCCACCACACTTCAACTGTTTTTAGGTATGGCTGTGCACCTTTGGCGTATTATGTACGGAACTACAACGGGCAGGGGGCAATGACCGTCGGTGTGCACGAGCACACACGGCGGCTGTCACGCGACGTGCGCACTCGTCCGTCGCGTCACTAATCACGTGCGCACGCGCCCGCTGTCACGCGACGTGCGCACTCGTCCGTCGCGTCGCTAGTCACGTGCGCACGCGTCCGCTGTCACGCGACGTGCGCACTCGTCCGTCGCGTCACTAGTCACGTGCGCACACGTCCGCTGTCACGCGACGTGCGGACTCTTCCGTCGCGTCGCTAGTCACGTGCGCACACGTCCGCTGTCACGCGACGTGCGCACGCGCCCGCTGTCACGCGACGTGCGGACTCTTCCGTCGCGTCGCTAGTCACGTGCGCACGCGTCCGCTGTCACGCGACGTGCGCACTCGTCCGTCGCGTCGAGTCACGTGCGCACGGCCCCGCTGTCACGCGACGCGTCATCTCCGCACCTTCTTGGCGCGCTGCACGAGCTCCGTGAGGCAGTCGTGCACTTGCTGCGCGAAGGCGGGCTCGCGCGCCGCGGTCGCGCGCACGTGCTCGCTGTAGCGCGGCGCCAGCTTCGCGGACACGTCCGGGTTGCGGATCTGAAGCGCCAGCGCCAGCTGGCGGCAGCGCGCCTCCATGCGGCACTCGTCGTCGCACTCCAGCCTGCGGAGACGGCGCGGATGGTGCGATTTCATCATTTAAAATGGTGTACGGGATTCCTGTAGAAATTAGGCGAGCGCGCGGGCGATTCCCCCGATGTCGTGTGACTGCCGCCGCCCTTGGACGTCTATGAGTCGGACGGGTTGTAGATGCAAGATGAAAAACTAATGAATAATTCTTCCACTTCACACCGGTGTTCTGAGAGTCCGTGGTAAATTCCTGGATGTGCCTGCAATAGCCGAAGCTGCTGCGTGGCCCTACCACAGATACAATCTATTCGGTTTCAACTTAAAACTAGACGAAACGCTTGCTTGACTCATGTTTCATTTATACGATCGAAAAAATTAGGTTTTGTTTTGTACATTAATTTCTACCTTTTATACATTGTCATTACAGCTAAAGGTGAACGCCGCATTTATGAAACGTAAAACTGTATTTTCTTTATCTGTAACTAACATAGAATATTTAAAGAAAAGGAATAAAGAAGAATTGCAGAGAAAGACAGTCTCATGAACGAGATACAACATAATACAAAATAATAGGAATAATAATAAATACTTACGTTTTGAGCATAGCGCCGGGGCGTTGTACCTCAGAAATATCAACAGAACCTCCCTCTTGCATCTTCGTAGCCGCTAGTGTGCTCATCAACCTAATAAATAAAATTTATTAAAATATATAGTTGATTTCTTATTGGTGGCGCAATAATAGTTTCGTGCGTTATTAATACCGGTACATGCATGGTATTATCACAAGCGCTCTCTTGGTAACGTAGATGTTCACGACTGTTTTTACGCGTGAATCTACATTATGCGAAGCTTAGCTCACGTTAACTGATGTTTTCGCTTTTAGTCCGTAGAATTTTATAATAATTCATAGAACGCAGAGTTAGTGGGTTATCCAAAATCCACGAGCATGTGTTCATTCGCCATGAAAGTTGGGTACGGATTGTGACTCAAGATGGCCGTTTACTGAATTATTAATTTGGCGTAGACGCAGTTCCGCGTAGTTCGATACGTCTTAGTTTCACTCAATAGGCGTAGCAGGCGTAGGGTTGTAGCTGTCGTAGTATCACTCAACCGATGTAACATGGCCGCTTAGCCGATTGGGATTGGTCGTAGCGCTCGTAGTATCACTCGCTTGGTGTAGTCGCGGCACTGCGCAGCCGAACATTATTGAGCATAGGTCGTAGCGCTATTAGTTTCTCTCAAATGGCGTATCTGAATCGCGCAGCAGGTCGTGCTAGTACGTAGCGTCCGTAGCATCACCGAATTGACGTAGGAGATCCGCGTAGCCGATCTAGAAAAGTCGTAGCGCACGTAGTATCACTCACTTGGCGTAGTCGCGGGCGTTCTCGTGGCACGTGCGCTCGGCGGTGCGCCTCGAGCACGGGCAGGTGGCGCGCACGGCGCGGCGGCACGGCGAGCTGCTCGGGCACGCGCCGCCGCCCGCCACGTGGCACGGCGCGGCGCACGCGTGCCCGCAGCCGGCGCGCTTCTCCGCGCACGGCTGCCGGCACCTGAGCACGGCGGCGGTGTACAGGGTGGCGCGGTAGTCGTCACGTTGAATTTAACATGAAGCCGTTTCGGTGAATACGAATGGTCAATTTCGGTGAAACTTGGTAATATCGATTGGCGTGGCGAGTGTAGTGCACATGCCTCTTGCGCCAAAGGGTGTGGGTTCGATCCTCACTACTGGAATAATATTGTGTGATGAACGTTTTTCCAGTGTCTGGATGTTTATACAATGTGTCTTTACCATCGCGACAATAAATGAACACACATATAGAGGATAACTTTTTAAAATTGTATTAAAGATTTACATTCTTTAAACATCAATATTAATCGAGGTATCAAATTTTCCAAAACAAAGAATTTTAGAACAGCCTTACGTATAAAACTTTAATGTTAAGTTCATTTGTAAAGGTCACAAAGCATATGAATGGGTTGAATGAATTTAAAAGAGACAAAACATACTGTTAGAAGGAGAGGCTTGTAATGCGGCGCTGAGGCGACGAATGAAAAAGTCTTTGAATCTATGAATCAGTCAGTTGTAGTTGTAGTTGTATATAGGATGTTATAAGTTGTTTCTTTGTTACTTAATTGGTTTGTTTGAAAAATATTTTTTTTTAACTATGGATTATTTTTAACGATAATATTTTTTTATGATTATTGGCAAGTAGCGTTAAACGTGTGTTCATTTATTGTCGCGGTGGTAAAGACACGCTGTATATGTATAATATGTATTTATAATATGTATTATTTACGATTTTGGAAAAGATTTAGACTCGTATTGGTGCAAAAATAAAGAAAAATATGATGGTTAAGTTGATTTGGTCACAAGGATTTCAGATATATAATAATTCACATTACAAAATAAATTCAATAAAATAGTTGCGAATTGAAACACTCCTATAACATACATACATTATACACTGACCTTTTAGAATGGCATAACGTAATACAATGACGCAAACAATACGTGTCAACTATGAGTGCGTGAACATTTTTTACAATTTTAATCAAATTGTTTTTGAATACACTTGTGAATTTTAAAATTTTATTTTACATATTAACAACTTACTTTTCAGTATCACATGGTCCTTTGTGGCATGTCTTCACGCATGTATGCTTTCCGCAGGGCAACGGCTTGCCACAGGGCAGACCGCATGAGAATTCTTCTTGGGAACAAGGTATTGTCTTGCGTTCCTTTAAATAAAACAATACGGTTTATTACTATACTTTTCTTATAATGTATAAAAACGTTCCATTTACATAGTTGAAAAGCAAAAAACGCAAACTTCTACGCGAGCGACTGTACCTCGTGGTTCTGTTCATCACCTCATTCGGTAGAGGAGGTAGCTCATTAACGTGGGCGCATCCCATGCGGGCGCGACTGTACCTGACGTCTGTTACCTTGTGTACGTCTAATTACTCGGGCGCGTTAGCTCTGTGCGCGCTCGTGGCGTCCGTAGCTCATGCGGTATTCTAATTCACTCGGGCGCGTTAGCTCTGTGCGCGACTGTACCTCGTGGCGTCCGTTACTCGTCTCGTGCGGTAGCGAAGCTAACTAACTCACGCGGGCGCGTTAGCACTGCGCGCGACTGTACCTCGTGGCGTCCGTGGCACATCTTGGTGGTGAGCACGACGCAGGGCGGGCAGTCGCCGGTGTGGCACGAGTGGTGCGGCGGGTGGCGGCAGGGGCGCTCGCGGCGGCAGGGGGCGCTGCAGGCGGGCGCGCGCGCACCGCATCGCACCGGCGGCAGCGCCACCTCCGCGCCGCACTCGCAGCGCAACTCCTCGAAGCCTGCATGTGTTAGGAGGAAGCTGTTCATGTTTAGAGTGCTCGCAAAGCACCTCTTTGATGGCTGTGCAGTCCGATGTTTGATGGTAAGGGTGCTCGCAAAGCACTTCTTTGTTGGCTTCGCAGTCTGTATCAGTTGGGGAGCCGCGGGTGGAGGGTAAATAGTCTGAGGATTGATGTTAAGGGTGCTCGCAAAGCAACTCTTTGATAGCTGCGCGACGCACGTGTAAGTGGGGGACGGCCGAGTTGCAGGTGGAGAGTAGACAATGGGACCCTATAGTCAGAGCCCGAGAAGAGCCGATAGTGAAATTTCCTATACTTCCACATAATCCTAGTTTCCGTTATAACATATTTCGGCACCATAATGTGAACTTTTACTGCAGTTTGCGTTAATAGCTCTCTGAGATTAAGAGCTCTCGTATCTGCTTGCGTACCTTACGAATTCTTTCGTCACGTGTCATCATTACCCGTTAAAAAAAAAACTGCGTGGGCCAGATAGCAGGGGGTGGCACTCACTGACGCGGGGGCAGGGGGCGCAGTGACCGGTGTGGCAGAACTCCTCGCAGCGGTGCAGCTGGCAGGAGAGCGTGCGGCCGCACACGACCGCGCAGCGGTGCGACTGGGCGGCGCAGCAGACGGTCCGGCAGCGGTGGCGGCCGCATGACAGCTTCTGCGGGGTGAGAAGGGGGCGTTACTATCGGTAAGTACTAGTTACTATCGCGTACCGTGCGCAGGGGAAGAAGACGAACAGTGTTAGTACAGACAGCAAAGTTGGCTCCGACGTTGAGCGGTACAAATATGTATCCGTCTCCCACCCACAATACGGTGATGTCCTGTTCAGACATTATTTGAAATCGCATTTAATCCTAGAGAGAAGGCTAGGCTTCATTATTATTTGATTCTGAAGATACATGAAATAAATAAAACAATAGTAGGACTACTCCAAATAAATCTCTCATTATAGGATCTATTCAATTTTGATATATATTGCTTAATAGTACTTTTCTTTATAGTAAAAATGAATAATAATAATTCATAAGAAATGCGTGTAAAATGTATTAAATAAAACGTAGAACAATATAGTTAAATAATGACAAAAGTCCTAGCTCCTGGAGAGAAAGATCCTTTCTTTGACATCTACCTTCCATTAAGGGAAGCGAGAAGAAAACAGTAGAAGTAGAGATGCAAGAGAAATAAGAAGATTACCTTGTTACACTTCTTCTGGCACAGCACGTTATTGGCCATCTCGGGTAATTCAGCGCATGGCACCTCTCGACTGGAGTGACCGCAGCGGCACGGGAGCAGGGTTTTGTCGGGGCACGTCGGGCATGGTCCTGGAACAATTGATGGATGTGACATGTAGTACTGCGTATTTAGAACCTAATTGAACAATTACACAGAGTTGACCGTAAAATAATAAATACGTTGAGATTTTCTTAAGTGTGGCAATCGGCCGTTAAGACTCAGTGGTTAATGCCTCTGGGCGCGAAAACTCAATACGTGAGTTCGATTTCCGCAGCGACGAAAAGCTTTTCGTCATTTTTTCTACAAATTGTAATAATATGAAAAACATTTATTTGCATGACGATAACATACCTTCATGACACAGCTGTTTGCAGAAATGTTTGTCTCCATCAGGGCCACAGGGCAGCGGCTTTGCGCAGATGTTGCCGCAAAGTGGTATGGGGTCGGTGCAGGATTTGCGTTGGCCTTTCTCAATCCTGTATATGTAAATAAAATATAAAGTGTCTGGACGGATATATTCTTTTTTTTGAGACTTAAAATTTATAATTTTACTTTTTAATAAATAAAAATAAAAATTGTATTGGACCAAATTGTAAATCTAAACCATTCTCGAATCCACTCGAACACACACAGAAAATCTCATCAAAACCGGTCCAATCGTTTACGACTAGACCAATCACAGTCACATACAGACACAGAAGAATTATACAGCGTGTCGTTACCATCGCGACAATAAATGAACACACGTCTAACGCTACTTGCCAATAAGCATAAAAATATATTAACATTAAACAAAATCCATAATTAAAAAAAATTTTTTTTCAAACAAACTAATTAAGTAAAAAAGAAACAAAATTTGTAACATCCTATACAACTCGCGCCACAGCGTCGTCAGTAAGCCTCTCCTTCTAACAGTATGTTTTGTCTCTTTTAAATTCATTCAACCCATTCATATGCTTTGTGACCTTTACAAATGAACTTTACGTTTCGCTTTTATAGGTAAGGGTGTTCTAAAATTCTTTGTTTTGGAAAATTTAATAACTCTGTAAATATTGATGTTTAAAGAATTTAAATGTTTAATACAACTTTAAAAAGTTATCCCCTATATGTGTGTTCATTTATTGTCGCGATGGTAACGACACGCTGTATAAATACTAGTGCTCGCGGCTCCGCCCTTATATCTTTTTATTTAATTTTTTTTTAACTAAAAAGAATCCTATTTCCTTTTTAATACCGCTAAAAATATGTGTAGAAAGTTAATATTAATAAGTAATAAAGTAGATAATCAGTTGAGTAGTTTTGGTGTGAAAGTGTAACAAACAAAATTAGATTTACATTTATAATATTAATAAGTAGGGGTAAAGGTATAAAGACATAGAAGATAATAAGCGAGCTAGCAAAGCCCACGCGCAACACGCATGTCACGCGTGTCACGCAAGTCACGCGTGTCACGCAAGTCACGCGTGTCACGCATGTCACGCATGTCACGCGTTTCACGCACCTGGTGTTTCCGCACGGGCACGTGTGCACGTTCTCCGGGCGCAGCGGGCACGGCGCGCACTCGGGCGGGTGGCACACGCGGCGGCACACGTGCGCGCCGCACGCGAGCACGCGCGCGCACGCCGCCCCGCACGACCACGTGGCGCACGCGCCCGTCTCCGCCGTGCAGGGCACCGAGCGCGACTTCGCCGCGGGGCAGTGGCACACTGGGGGAACACAAGCACAGTTGAACTTAACCGTGGTAGGACCACGCAACAGTATTCGTTGTCGCACGAATGCGCAGGGCCGTATCGGTTATGGCCACGACCTCACAGAAGACCGGCGTAAGGTAGAAGTGTTACACTTCTGCGTTTCGTCTGGTGAGTGAGGTAGCCGGGGCCCATATTATGAAATGGTGGCAACACACCGGCGGCAAAACTCTCTGCAACCGGCGGTTATCACTTAACATTAAGTGAACCACCAGCTCGTTTGACAATTTCTCAGATAAAAAAAACAGTTAATATTGACGTCGGTTGTGGAGCAAAGGCCTCCTTTGTGCAGATTGTATTAGGGCATACTCCATCGCGCGATACCACTGCCGGTTGGCGGCGGCACCACAGCTGATCAGTGGACTTTCTAGTGATTTTGTTATCATTTCGAAAAGTGCAGGTTTCCTCACGATGTTGTCCTTCACCGCTGAGCACGTGATAAATCAGCAATTAAAATTAATCATTTGTTTTTAAACTTAAACTCTGATTGCTAGAGAATTGAGGGAGAATTTATTGAATTAAAAGCGATTTGCCCGGACACGGCTCTATTCTTTATATCTGTAGTGTCGTGGTTTTTATCCCTGCTCCCTTTGTCAGCTAAAGTAAGAAAAGATTTAACTCCCCAACTCACTGAGCCTGCTTACGTAATACTTAAACGCTATAATAATTGGTAAATGTATGGCAACAAATGCAATACTCATTAAAACTGTGCAACATTCACCTACCTTGGGTGACAGTTTCGGAACACTCATCACACAGGCCTTCGTGGCACTCGCGTTGGCACTTGTGAACGCCGCAAGCCAACGTGCGTTTGCACTCTCTACCGCACAGCTGTGGCAGCTTGCTGCTACAGAGCACGGAACGGGTCTCAGCGCCGCATCCGCATTGCCTGCAATTAGAATAATTTAAATAAAATATTTATTGAAGAGCCATGATAGCTCAGTGTCCGGAAGCTCTGAGTTCAAATCCTGGAGAAGACACCAATGAAATTTTGTGCTAATTTATCACACAATGTTATCATTAAGAGCATCATGTGAACTCCAAGACCAAAAAATATTGTTCTGAATCACATTACCCATTACATTATCTTTAACATGGCTGATATGTACAAGGAAATATATACATTCATATATCTACATACATTTTGTTATTTGCTTAGATTTAACAACTGCTTACTTGCTTATGGTGGCTTGGCAAGGTGGGCAGGGGCCAGGGTGGCACAGAAGAGTACAAGGATGCGGACAGCTCCTTGGCCGGCGGCAGGATTTTCCGCAAGTGTGGGCGCTCACTGTTCCACGGGAATATTCGGGCGATCGTACCGCGCCACACATGCAACGGTACTCAGTCGGAACCTCTTCATTCGTATTCTGACAAGCGGGACAGCGCCATTTTCCTTCTGTAATTAGAAAACACATTGCCTGCAGCCCACTTCGCATGCTTAGTTCTTTACGGAATAAAATTGCATATTGTTTCGAGTAAGCACTATAGGCAAGTGGTAATTTATCATATAAGTTACATATATTTGGAATTTAATTGGAATCCTTTGTGGCGTTAAATTTATTGAATAAAATTAGTGTAAAAAACAAGTGTAGATTAGAAAAAATTAAAGCTACTGATTAGCTTAAGGAATATGTTATAAAATATTTATTAAAAATACAATTATACATTGTTTTTTGTTCGTTCTATAACAAATTTATGGATGGTTAAAGTATATTTTATCAGTATTATAAATAATTATAAATTTGTGTCTCAAAAGTTATGAAACAGTTATGATAATCCAATTCTACATTTAACAATGTAGATAAAAGAAGTGTATTTTTAATGTTTTGCTTTTTGCTTTTCTGTCACTTTTTATGCTTAACCTTGTCTTTGATGTTTCTTGCAATATTTTCCAATTGTTTATGTTGTTTAAGTTCACTATTATAAGGTATAAAAAATAAATGTTACAATCAAAGTAAGCTTACCCACTAAACTGCTTGTAGCCCATTTCCTGATGCATCTTAGGTGTAACACATGGTAACAATTGGAGCACCACCAAACTGAATCTGTTTGCTTAACTCTTTCGCAGCAGACTAAACATTCCAAGGTTCCTTTGTCGAGCTGTTCAGTCAATCTTTCACGCTGTGTCATTGCCGTATTACCCACTGAAATATATTTCCATTTAAAATAATTTTGATTAGTGACTTTTCTAATACACATTGAGCAATATTTAGTCATAAAAAGCCAATTGCAATTAGATTAGGTTTTATGGGCCCCTGCCAACTTTGTGAGGAATTAAGATGCAGTGAATAATTTGCATGATTTTATATAAATCTTTTGGAATGATTCTAATGTTTTTTGTAAGGATTTATAAATATTTATATGGATAAAAATAAAAGCAATTTTAACAAATATAATGTTTTTAGCAGAATAATTTTGTTTGTCATATGACAATATCTTGTAAAATGTAACATTTAGACACAGGTTCTCTAATAACCGGAATAGATTAGTAAATCTGTATCAGAAATGTTGTAAAACGTACCTGGAGGATCCACTACAGTTTTATTTTTTGCTTTTGCAGGGCTTGCTGCTTTTTCAGTTTTAGCAACTCTCTCTACCCTCTCATCCCTATATTGCATGTATGTATTAGCATATTGTTCATCTTCGACAACATTACGTTCCGCCGTTCTAAGTCGCTGGCTCCCAGGCCAGTTTCTTTGTCTGCCAGAACTTTCCCCCCTACCATTTCTAACGTCTTGGCTGTTCTTATTTATAGAGCTATTGTAAAAAGTTCTACAAGCATCAGGATCTTTATTTTTCGATTTTGAATTAGATTTTGTTTGTTTATCATCATTGGTATACTTTTTTGATTCAAATTGCCTGTTCCCCGAATCAAAATTACGACCATTTTGAGAATTGTTTGATTGTTGGTTGTCAGCTTGGTTTTCAGAATCTTGTACAGGTGTGGCTGTATCCTTAGTTTGGTTTGAATGTGAATTATTAGAATTTTGGCTATGGGTATTGGTATTACGGTAACGGTTACCAGATTCTTGGTTTGATTCGTTATTACGTTTGTTATTTTCATAGTGCCGTCCGTTTGAGTCACGGTTACGATTATTTGTATCGGGATTTTTAAAATTTTTTTGATAGCGATTGAAATTATTAGTATCTCCATGTGGGTGGGAACTTTCACTGTTTGTATTATTTGATCTCTCTCGCCAATTACTTTCTGATGGTTTTGCATTATTGCTACTTATTTCATTTACATCATTATTTGTAGCTAGAGATTCTTGTGAGACAATATTCTGAGAACTTCTTGATGCTAAATTCATGGAGCTTTTTGGCACAAACTCTGTTGCAGTGGGTGTAAGTTTTGAATTTATAACTACTTCATTAGAATAAGAACTTGCATCAGGTAAAACTGGGTATTGATTTTGAACAGTTACCGGATATGTTTTTATACTATTATTAACATTTGATGTGCTGGGTCCATAATTGTATTCTATTTGAGTGTTTTGTGAGGGTACATTTTGATAGCCATATTGGTTACTTGAGTAGGCTTGGTATTGAACATTATTGTAATTAGAAGGATTATTCTGTGGAACACTGTTACCCTGCATTTGGGATAAAAACTCGTCAAAACTTACATATTGGTTATTTGACTCAAATTGTCTATTACCATAATAGGCTGGATTTACGTATTGGCCATTTAAATCGGTATTCCATGCATTCGGAGGTCCTTGGAATTGGTTATTATAAGCGTATGAATTGTTCCAGTGAGACATCTTGATATTAAATAGCGAAATGTTGTGAAATATAATGATTTGCAGTCATCAACAACAGACGGGAATTTTGAGATGTTTGATGATTTTTTAAAGTTTTGAAGCACAGCACCGGCCACAGGCCGAAGCCCGAAGCCTTGAAGAGAGGTTTAAGCACAGTCTGTAATAAAATAAGGCACTAATACGTTATCATTACAGACAATTTGAATTTACTTTTACTGACATGTGCCACTTACTAATTATATACAAAAAACGAATACTTACCTCTAATGTGATATTGAAACAGTAAAAATAATATATAATAAATTTTATCACAAACCAAAAATAAAAGGAAAAATAATTTAAGAACTCAAAAGTGTAATATGTTTGTAACGATATGACAAGATGAATCGGACCTAGTGAATGGGGAGGGGGAGGTCGACGTTGACAGTAAATTTTTAACTCACCGTAATACGCATACTTTTACGACAATTATTGTAAAAAATAATTTTACAATTATTGTCGTAAAAGTGATTTTTTGTCCAACTTTTTTCAGCAGTCTCGGGAAAATATGAATAACAATATATGGTGACATTTAATTTAACTAGCGTCTAGATGATTTTAATTTTTAACCAAATTTATTATTTGATTAACAATACTGAAGATGCAAGTTAATGTCTAAGCAAATTACAAAAATTAGCATTACTTTCAAAATACATCATTAAAAATGATTCACCTGTATAAAAAGCCACGGTAGTAAGTAAGTAAGTCGGCGCATATGCATCAAAGAATTTATATAACGCTGTGCTAATGGGGTGTCGTGGGAATGACTAATTACCTACTATACATGAATTTAACCAGGATTCAGTCACGCTATGAATGAGGATTGTAACAAACTAAAATCGAAATTACGTCTCTTCTAAGAATATTTTTGATCCATTTTAAATATCACTAAATTAAACCATTCATCTAGGTTTTATAGTAACGTGTAGGACAATATACAGCGTGTTGTTACAATTGCAACGATAAATGAACACGCATATAGAGGAAAACATTTTTAAACTATATTAAACATTTACATTCTTTAAACATCAATATTTACCGAGTTATAAAATTGTTCAAAACAAACAATTTTAGAAATCCCTTACGTATAAAACAGTAACTTAAAGTTCATTTGTAAAGGTCACAAAGCATATGAATGGGTTGAATGAATTAAAAAGAGATAAAACATACTGTTAGAAGAAGAGATTTGTAATTTCGTCGTTGTGGCAACGAATGAAAAAGTTTCTGAATGTATTAATCAGTCAGTTGTAGTTGTATAGGATGTTACAAATTTTGTTTCTTTTTATTTAATTAGTTTGTTTAAATTTTTTTTTTAATTATGGATTTTTAACTCTTATATTTTTTTATGATTATTGGCAAGTAACGTTAGACGTGTGTTCATTTATTGTCGCGGTTGTAACGACACGCTGTATACACAGTACGTATTTTTGCGAATGATATTACCGATGAGTTAAAATGATAAAGATAAATTGATATTTGTTATATACCATATGCATATTATCGTTTCAGTATATTAGTTGAGTATACGAGTAGATATACATTGTATGAGATCTTTCTCTACGGTGAATGTGGAAAATACTGAGCATATCAACAGTTCTCTAGCAATTTATATTTTAAGATTTGTTAATAAGCATTTGAGGTATATTGTTAGAGGGAAATAGACATAATCACGAAATTAAACTTGAGATGATTGTTTCACCGTAAAGAAATCATTAATTTCCTTGATTGCATTAAAATCCCATAGTCGATATTTTTTTTTTTTTTTTTTTTTTTTTTTTTTTTATGGGAATAGGAGGCAAACGAGCATGTGGGTCACCTGGTGATAAGCGATCACCGCAGCCCATGGACATTTGTAACATCGGTTGAGTCGCAATTGCGTTGCCGGCCTTTAAGGAAGGAATAGGCTCTCTTCTTGAAGGTCCCTAAGTCGTATCGGTCTGGAAATATCGCTGGCGACAACTCGTTCCACAAAGTAGTTGTGCAGGGTAGAAAGTTTCGTGAAAAACGCACTGTGGTGGAACGCCAACCATCAAGGTGGTGTCGATGGTACTTGGCGGTTTGACGAGTTGTACGATGGTGAAATTCACCAGCAGGTATCAACCCAAACAATTCCTCAGAGCACTCCCCATGATATATCCGATAGAAAATGCATAGGGATGCAACATCCCTACGCAAGGCCAAAGAATCGAGGCGATCGGACAGGATTTGGTCGTCGACGATTCGAGCAGCTCTTCGTTGAATGCGGTCAAAAAGAAGGAGCTGGTATTTCGGTGCCCCAGCCCAGAGGTGAGAACAGTATTCCATGTGAGGCCGAATCTGTGCTTTATAAAGCTGCAACCGATGTGTCGGCAGGAAATACTGTCTCGCTCGGTTTAGGACACCGAGTTTTTTAGAAGCCAGCTTGGCTTTTCCTTCCAAGTGACCGCGAAATTGAACGCTGCTCGATATATCGACCCCAAGAATTCCGATCGAATCGGTGGCAACAAGGGGAGTGCCTTCAAAAAAGGGAGATACGACGTAGGGTTTTCTCTTCGCGGTAAACGCGCAAACCTGTGTCTTCATGGGGTTAAATTGGACTAAATTAAGTCTGCCCCAATCCGAGATTTTGCATAACATAACCTCGACTTCAGACACAAGTTTATTCCGGCACTCTTCGACGTACTCCTGAGAAAATATTTGCCCGGCCGGTATATAGTGCGTCACCCGTAGTGTCATCCGCATAGCAATGAATGTTGCAAATATGCAACAGATCATTGATATGTAGGAGGAACAACGTAGGGGACAGGACGCAGCCTTGTGGGACACCAGAGTTCACGAATTTAGCGTCGGAGCAAGCACCGTCAATAACGACCTTGATGCTCCGACTAGTGAGAAAACTAGTGATCCAGTTGCACAATTTCTCAGGAAGCCCGTAAGATGTAATCTTAGAAAGAAGTGCTTTGTGCCAAACCCGATCGAAGGCTTTCGCTACATCCAAACTAACCGCCAAGGCCTCACCCTTTGTCTCAACTGCCTCCGCCCATCGATGCGTTAGGTACACTAAAAGGTCACCAGCTGAGCGCCCGCGTCGAAAGCCATATTGACGATCGCTAATGAGCTGGTGCTCCTCAAGGTACCTAAGGAGCTGGCAGTTTATGATGGACTCCATGATTTTAGAGAACAAAGAGGTGAGGGCAATAGGCCTATAGTTCGACGGATCTGAACGATCACCTTTTTTTGGAATCGGGTGCACTAAAGCCGTCTTCCAAGAAGTTGGGACAATGCCTAGAGAGTAGGAGTGCCGGAAAAGGCGCGTTTAAAACCGTTGCCAACTCTGGAGCACACGTCCTTAACACAATGGGAGGGATTCCGTCTGGCCCGCTCGACTTATGGATGTCTAAGGAGAAGAGTGCTTTACGTACTGTGCTCTGCAGAAACCTTATTTCTGGCATTGTGTGCTCACACCGCGGGATGGTCGGCGGTGTGTTCCCCTTATCATCCAGTGTCGAGTTAGACGCGAAGAGGGTGCCCAAAAGTTCGGCTTTCTCTTCAGCGGTGTGGGCCAACGAATCATCTCGCCTGTGCAAAGATGGAAAAGATGGCGTACAGAAGTTTCCTTGAACAGCCTTGGCGAGAGACCAGAATGCACGAGTCCCCGAAGGAAGGTTAACTAATTTCTCGCCAATTTTGCCGATGTGCTCTGACCTTGCTGATGCGATTGCTCTTTTGAGGGACCTAGAGGCAAAGTTGTACTCCTTTTTAAAGTGACTGGTATTTACATCCCTAGACGCCACCGCAACGGTCCAGGCCCGATAACTCTCCTGCTTATGGCGAGATGCCAATTTGCAGGAGCGACGGAACCAGGGATTGGATTTGCCGCCAATGGGAACCGTAGAGAAGGGGATAAAAAGTTCCATTCCCTGAAGCATCACATCGGCGACAGAATCAGCGATGGCGCTGGGATCATCCAGCAAGAAGCAAACCTTGCCCCAGGGATAAGATGCAAAGAAGGACCGCATCCCATCCCAATCTGCTGACCTGTAATGCCACACACGACGAAAACTCGGGGAGCGCGTAAGCGTTCTGCGCGCGATGGGCACTACGCTCCGGACCAGACAGTGGTCTGACGAGCCAAGAGGGGCATCTACAGAAACTTGGTAGTGTATATGTGTATTATGTTATTATGTGTATTATGTAAACTTAGTATTTGTATTGTTAAACAAACACTATTTAAATTCAAATGATAACCATTAAAAGCTCATCCAATAATTATAAAGATTCGTAGATGAATGTTATAATTGTACGAAAAATCGGTACCGTCCCGCGGCCGTCACGTATTGTGTACATTGAAAGTGGGACAATAAAATCATTTCAGTATAAATTATTTCCACATTTTGCCCGAGCACTATATCGTAGCTACTTCTGTCACAGTATTTATAACTTGACTTCCTTATAATGTATTCAAGTGGTTGTCTAGACTTGATCAGATGCCACGAAGAACTATGGGCTGCGTAACCAGTTCGCAGAAAGTCCACGCAGCTAATGTGAGTGATTCAAGCAATTAAGTAATTTTATATAAAAATATGCAGTTCATGTAAGAATTGTAGTTGAGTCTTTTTTCTGTTAACGGGGAGGAAATGCATACGCATATCGGGCCTCGTGAGGGCAAGGGCGAGCTATATTGGACCCGCACCAACTATTAACTCCACAATGTTCAACCCAGGTCGCATATTCGCAGGATCACGGGAACGGTTTCGCACACTTCAGCAACCACACTAGCATAATTATTCATCACAATCCAACACTATAAAATAACATCACGAAATCGTCTTAATATTGCTGTACGTGCTCAATGATTGGTCTGTATTTTTCAGACTTTTAATACAGGACCGTACTTTAAAGAATTGTCCAAAAGAAGTGTAAGGATGACGATTGTTGCCGTTTTGGTTCAGCTGGACAAGGAAATATCTAACAGTGAAAGGTCACACCCTGTGGAACGACTTGCCGTCGTGTCGGCGGAACTGGTCAGCATACAAGAGGTATATATTATTTTTATGTGGGCCAGTAGACATTTTAAAATATGTATAAAGTATTAAACTGTATAGCTAAATGAATCAATCAATAACTATTGAGCTATGATACAATTTTTCACAAAGAAGACTCGTGTGCCAAGAAGATTCCTTGATACGACCTCTATAAGTGATACAAACGTCACGAATAAAATGCAAAATTAAATGCGATAGAATCCGAAAGATTGAAAAATAAATTGTAAAAAAATTATCAGCGCTGCGGGATTCAAATTGCGTCTCCTGGGTAACCATTATTTTTTTGTATGTATGGGTTTGTATTATATAACGCCATATGTTTCGCACAAAACAATATGAATTTGCTTCAAGCACTATTCGCAAAATAATAAGTAATACATTGCGTTTCAGGAAATAAACGTACTAGAGGGAACCACAACTTCGAAAAAGATAGGCATCGATGAATATGGGAAAACTCTTCACCAAGTTCGTATATTTTTGTTACGTATAATTGTGGTAGGGCCACTTAACACGTGCAACGCATCTACAACCTTACAGGTGTTGCAATTGTCCATGGGCGGGGGTTTTAACTTAACATCAGGTGAACCGCCAGCTCGTTTACCACTTTCTCTCTAAAAAAGTGTATAGGTACACTTGGGAAAAAATAACTGGTAGGATGTAACGTTAATTCATAAATCCCTTTAACCTAACAAGGTACACAGAAATAGATAAAGTTTAATAGTGTTATTAAGATACATGAATATACGAAAGTTTAACTGCTGTTTTATTTACTACTTCACAAAATTTCTGTAATACTGAGTATACTATAGAATTACCACGTACCTACTTCTATAATACTATAGACTTACCACGTGGACCTGGTTGCTATTTTGTTTGTCTGTGAGTCACGCACAGCATTAGATATTACAGTAAATGAGAAGCATGAACAAAATTATTTCTTTTTTCCGAATTCAATGCAGGTGTTCGTCAGTTTGGATATCTACAGACGCCCAATGTTGGCATTGGAAAATGAAGATTTCATTGCCAATGTGAATAGAAAAGTAAGTACGAATCACTACTAGTTAATCGTTCCCTTTTACTTCCGAGCCTCATACACATACATGCATCGCAGGAAATGCATCGAATCGAGTTAAACTTTTTGCGCATTCGATATGGTGAGCTGCTGAAGGAAAAGAAAGATCTCCTTGCGCAGATACTACGCATAAAGTCTTTGTATGGAGCACTGCAAAAACTACTCGGTACGTGTATTTATGTTTGGACTTCCGGAAGTTTTTATTTATGCCATAAATAAAAACATCCTCATAAATAAATGGTTAATCCAATTCTCTTTCAAAAATAGGTCCCCTATTCTCCTTGAAACTTGAAAACTGGCAATTATTAGAAAAAAAAAAATAACAAGATGGCGTTTCTAATTTTGTTAATAAACTAAGAAATGTTTACAATTTTATGGATTATAAAATTAAATTACTATAGTTCAGAAACAGCTGTACTATTAATTTTGTAATATTTCAGATAGTATCTGGAGTGATAATTTGAAAGCGGCAACACAGCTCGAGGATTCCCTAAAGCGTGCGCGTTCTTTACGCGACGCGCTGGCTTCTGTGGGCGCGCGGTTAAAAGCCGCTGCGGATTATGCACTCGAAGCCACGAGGGCAATGGATGACGCGTTACCCGCTTGGAAATTGACGTCTGTTGGAAAGTAAGACTACTACTAGACTGGGCTAAAATTGGAACTGAATTAATTCCATAGAAAATTGTTTAGTTCCAGTTTTTAGGTCGGTAAATAAAGCTGCTAGAGCTTGGACAAAAAAAAACAACTTTGGACAAAAACAATCTTCTAATATATAAAAAATCTCGTGACACGGTGTTTGTAATTGAACTCCTCCGAAACGGTTCCACCGATTTTGTTGAAATTTTGTGTGCATATTAGCCAGGGTTGAGAATCGGATAACATCTATATTTCATCCCCCTAAATGTTATGGGTGGTCTGTAACAAACATTTTTCTCTACCCTACAAATAATTTACATGGCAAAACAACGTTTTAACTTATAATTTCGTTACTAGCTGACCCTACCGGGTAGTAACTTTATAAGTTAATAATATTTAAAATTCTCTCTTCTTAATTGCAGAGAATATCACTGTAAAAAAGAATATTCTTTAAATTTTTTATAGCAAAGGTGTGATGTTATAGTTTTTAAATATTTCGTTGTATGTATAATGTGAAAAAAGTGGTTGTTTCCTGTAAATGGAATACACTAGATGACGTAAAATGTATTTTTAGGGTTCCGTACCCAAAAGGTAAAACACGACCTTTTTATTACTAAGATATTATTACTATGACTCCGCTGTCCGGTCACCAGACCGTATCTCATGAACCGTGGTAGTTAGACAGTTGAAATTTTCACAGATGTTGTATTTCTGTTGCCGCTATAACAACAAATACTAAAAAACAGAATGAAATAGAAAAGAATTAAAGGTGCTCCCATACAACAGACATGATTTTACCCTGATTTTATAGATGGTACGGAACCATTCGTGAGTCCGGCTCACATTTGGTCGGTGTTTTTTTATAGAAGGCAAGAAACTTGCCAAAAGATTAATGTTGAAATTAGTTCTTTGGTGATTGAGTTAACAGGGGCCCAATTTTTTAGACGTTTACCTAACTGTCCACATTATTTGTTTTAAATAAAGAACAAATTACGTTATTGCGAAAGACCCTTTTGAAGTATGGTTATTAATCATAATATATATCATATAACGCATCACTAATGCATCAGTAAAAAACTGGCCAAGGGCGAGTCGGACTCACGCTCGTACCATTATCTATAAAGACGGCAAAAAAAAATCATGTCTGTTGTATGGGAGCCCCACTTAAATATTTGCTTAAACTGTTTTTAGTATGTCTATTTTATTTCTTTATCAGTCTAACTATGAGTTCCTGTTCATGAGATACAGCCTGGTGACAGACGGAAAGATAGAAAGCGAAGTCTTAGCAATAAACCGGAACGTTTTATCCTTTGGGTACGGGACCCTAAAAACGATTCTTAAAAATCATTTTTAGGGTCGTTTTAGTGCGTTGCCGCACGAAAAAAGCGCTAAAACGCACACGGATGAGTTGTTGGCAGCGAAGTGCGTAACTCCTATCGTGCAATTTTGTTTTGTAAACACTCCACGATTGAGTTCGGCTCGAAGACCCGACGTGTTGCTAACCTCGAGGTTTGTAGATATTGAATTGATTCGCGGGTTCCTATTTTTTTTTTAGAACCGGCTGGGAGCGGACTGCAACATGCGCCGACGCATGTCGCCTTCTGGTGCGGGCGCGTTGCTCCGAGCGGGCTGCGCGTCGTGTGCTTGCCGCGTACGCCGCGCCCCGTGCGGCGCGCTCAATCCGCCTCGCATTGGATTACGCCTTCACAGACTTGTTCCACGACCAAAAGTGGGTTGGCAAATTTATTGACACCATTTCAAACATACATTGTTTTATGGAAGAGGTGGCAAGCGATCGAGCGTCCGCCGTAAGGGGAAACCCGCGGCATCAGAGGATTTGCAATTACTCTTTAACCGCGTAAACGAAGTAAACTAGAGTTCCGGGGCGGCCCGCTCTCAGTTAAAGATTAGCACAGTCCGCGTATCGGCCTCAACGGCCCGTAAGCAAAAATCCCCTGCTTTTAACACATTAACTTAATGCTTTGCAGTTATGCCTATTTTATTAAAGACTTCCATTTATTTCCAAACTGTTAATTATTTTACCTCGCGATTTTTCAGATATCGACAGGCAACAGAGACATTTATAGAATTCAAGGAAGCACTTCAATTACTAATCAATTGTATTCATCAGGTAATTTCTTGCAATTTCCTTTTTTTTTGTCAATATAGTGTATTTTTAGGAATTTATTTAATAAACTAATCAGATTTATTATGGTAATATTAACTGTGGTAGGGCCACGCAGCAGCCTCGGCTGTTGCTCGAATAGGCAGGCTCGTTCGGGTAAGCACCACGACCTCACAGAAGACCGGCGTAATGTGGAAGTGTTCTACGTTTCGTCTGGTGAGTGAGGTAGCTGGAGCCAAATTTTCAAAAGGTTGGCAACGTATCTGCAACGTTCGAGTGAAACAGATGTCCATGGGCTGCGATTTTCACAACGGGTGAACCGCCTGCTCGCTTGGCAACATTTCAAATAATAAAAAAAAAGATTTATAACCTAATCAGAATTAAAAAACTGCAATTAGTCTTTACCATCTTTAAATTATTCCATAACAAATACTTTATTAAAGGCCTGTTATATTTTGTGATTATTTCAGGATTGATCTTTCTGGATTCTTTCAGATTGTTACTGGGTTTAGGTTCATCCATACCTTTAACGACTCCATTTGAAGTAGAAATGTATTAAATGGTAGTAAATCTCTGATCTCTCTGATTGCGGCCATTGATATAATAAGAGTCATAGACCATGTCGATCGAGTTGCCGAGTCTAGCATTTCATTATAATTTAATTTATAATTTTTGTGCTAGTCCCTACACTTAATATAAAATTTAATATTACTTACATGTAGGTTTAATCTACACCAAAATTTTTCGCTGTTGCCAGTTTTATTACTGGCTGTGGCAAAGTTCGCCTGTCTTTGGTACATGTTTTACAAAACTCAAACTATAACTGACAATAAAGTAATTGCTGTCAAGTCATATGCTTGCTTCAATATATACAAAATGTTGAAAGTTTACAGTAGGCTAAAAAACGGCCATGGTCTGTTCCAAAAGATTACTAGCAGAAGCGTGTCGCAGGAGGTGAACATTTTTATCAACGGCCAAGCTGTCAAAGTTCCGAGTTACTTTACGGCGTTGCAAGCGCTGCGTCGGGAGCGCGTCACTATACCGACCTTTTGTTACCACGAGCGGCTATCAATAGCGGGCAACTGTCGCATGTGCCTTATCGAGATCGAGGGGAATTGGAAGCCGCAGATCGCTTGCGCTACGCCCGTGTACAAAGATATGAAGATCCGCACTAACTCGAAGATGGCGCTGATGGCGCAAGAGGGCGTGCTGGAGTTCCTCTTAATCGACCATCCACTGGACTGTCCGATTTGCGATCAGGGCGGGGAGTGCGATTTGCAGGACCTGACGATGAGGTTCGGAAACGACAGGAGCCGGTTCACGGATATATTCTTCCAAGGCAAGAGGGCCGTTGAGAACAAGAACCTGTCGTCACTGATCAGAACCGAGATGACCAGATGCATACACTGCACGAGGTGCATACGGTTTGCCTCGCAGGTGTGTGGCATGGATGTTTTAGGGACGACGGGTCGGGGCGGTGAAATGCTCGTCGGGACTTACGTGGACAAAATGTTTTTCTCTGAACTGTCTGGGAATATTATAGATCTGTGTCCAGTCGGTGCTCTGACTTCGATTCCCTATATGTTCAAAGCGAGGCCGTGGGAGTTGAAGAAAACGAATTCTATCGACATTACGGACGCGACAGGTACGAACGTTGTCCTCGACCATCGATTCGATAGGGTGCTGAGGGTTTTGCCCCGTGAAAATGGGGAAGTCAACCAGGAGTGGCTGTCGGACAAGGGTCGCTGGGCTATCGACTCCCTTGATATGCAGAGACTGGTGACTCCTATGTGTAGAATGGATGAGTCCCTATGTCCCATCGATTGGAACGTTGCCTTGAAAATGGCCTCCAAATTGATTAAGCGCACGAAACCTCATAAAATTATGGCAATTGCCGGCCCGCATTCCAATGTTGAGACATTGGTAGCTACTAAAGATTTCCTCAACATGCTTGGCTGCGAAAATACCTTTGTGGAACGTTCCCTGTGCTATACTGCGTCCGATGCAGATCTCAGAATTGCATACTCCCTTAACGTCAACATGAAGGATATAGCCAAAGCTGACAAAATTTTGCTCGTCGGAACGAATCCCCGTTTTGAGGCGCCTATTTTGAACGCTTGGATAAGGCAAGCCTATGTATATAACGAATGCGACATTTATGTCGTCGGACCAGAGTGCGAATACAATTATCACGTCAAATACTTGGGCTCGGAAGTGAATTCTGTGGCACAGGCGGGTGAAGTTTTGAAGGGTGCGAAGAGACCTCTGGTGTTTATCGGTGTTGCACAGTTAGGGACGAGTTACGGCAGTGGGATGATCAGTCTTCTCAGCAACATGACGAGCGAAATGAATACGAGCCCGGATTGGACGGTGTTGAACATCGTTACATTGGAGGCGAGTTTTGCTGGTGCGCTGGAGGTCGGCTGGAAGCCGGGCGCGCTCGCGGCTTTAAAGGAAATTAATCCACTGCTGATTATATCTTTGGGTGCCGACGAGGTTTTCTACGACTGGGCCCCATCAACAAACTGCACCGTCATGTATATAGGGTACCAGGGGGACAGAGGATCGGAGAGTGCGACTCTCGTCCTTCCGGGCAGTGCGCACAGTGAAGCCGGTGGGATATACTTGAATATGGAGGGTCGGGTGCAGTACGCCACGCCAGCGGTCACGCCCCCCGGGCAGGCCCGTCACGACTGGAAAATCATCCGTGCCCTAGCCGAATACAGCGGTATCTGCCTGATATACAGCGACATAGACTCAATGTTCTGCAGGTTGGCCCAGATCAGTCCCAACTTCTTGCACTTCGACAAGTACCAAAGTAAACTGTTCCCCGACTTGGTGCCCTCAATGGTTGACAATTGCAGCGGGACCAACGGGTGCATAGACGTTAAAATGAAGACCATGAGGGACTACTTTTGCTCGGACGTTTTCACTTATAACTCGCCGACCATGCTGAAGGCGCAGAAGGCCGTCACCGAATTCAATAGTACTTCGCAATATCTCGCTATTTAAAAATGAATGTTGATTTTGTATAGCGGGTTAACTATTTATTATACTTTTTTTAGTATATTAAAAAAAATGGGAAGTTATATATTTATTTAATGTCGGCCATTTGTAACGGCCAGTGGTAACTCCTGTAAAATTTGTGTTTTGTCACATAATGCTGTTTACCTCTGAGGTATAGATTTATACTGGCAGAAAAACAAAATAACGATTAATTTAATTTGTAAGTAAAGTTTGTATTTATAATCTTCTGTTCGTGACTTGTTTCGACAATGGTTAATCAGTTTCCTTGGAACACTAAATATTAACAACATTCAGTTCATCTCGTATAGTTGTAAACGCAGTACATACATTTTTTCCTAAACAAAACGACTGCCACTAGGCAGTTACTATTGTCGTGGGTGGTTTTCGCAAATATGAAATCACAAAGTACTATATTATCGTTGTTCATAGTCACTAAAGATTTTTTTGTGTTTGTTGCTATGAATACTAAGAATATCATCCTATTGATACCTTGATAGCCGTGATAGCTCACCGTCGGGTGTTCGCTTTTAATTCAATATACTCGAGCAACCTGCGTTCAAATCCCGGTGCCTGCGCCAAAGAAATTGTTAATTGCTATTGTATGTAGTCTTATCGCGTGCTTAACGGGTCATCGTGAGAAAACTTACTAATTTTAAAAATAATAATAAAATAAATATATTTTGCAGTTATGTGAAATTTGCCAATCCGCAGTGGGGTCACGTGGTTTAGCCTACATATTTGAATAGGTTGTAACTTTATTGAAAAAAAAAATGATATGTGCACAACACACGTTACCCGTTCGAGACGATTAATATTATACATCAAAGATCGAATATAACGACGCCTTTGGTTTTGTCAGGTGCTTTTGAACAACATGGATAATTTGGCGGTGGCTGAAAATGACGTCGACAAAGCTCGAAGGGATCTTAGGGCGGCGCGAGTTAACCACATCGTGAAGAAAGGTCTAGCTGATTTAACTTATGACCCTAAGCTATTGACTATTTTGCAAACGAGGAGGAATAAATTGTGATCGTAGATGAAGAAATGTTTTATTTTAACATTATGGCCAATGTACCGAACAGAGCATTTTTATACAAGTGATAATTATTGTTAAAACTGTGGTCTTTATTTTATTTTAATTCGTGAACGCAAATAATAGAATGGTTTTAGTTAGGTAATGCTTAATCTACACTACAGAATAATTGTCTAGAAGGCCACAAAGGTACAGTTCAGTAAAACACGAATGTATAAAAACACAATCAAATTTTATTAAATATCAAATATTGTATTGTCTAACACGATTCCTTAGCTATCATGTTTCACATCAACATCGTTATGATAATGATAATACGGTTATGAATACACATTAAGTACGAAAGATACATTTCGTGTTTAGAACGACAGAAGCCGAAGGAAATATTAATAAGTATTTTCTAAAGAAACTAATACAGAAAAGTATAGTACATAAAGTTGATAGTGTTTAAATATATTGTCACGAAGGAACAAGACGTAGATAATTCAATCATATAAACATTAACGTATTAAAATATTCATAAGTAACAAGAAATGTAAATCACTTATGAGGAAACAAGCGTTTATAAAAATACGATTACTTTTATATTGTATTTAAGAAGGAGTTTTTAAAATCGAGAACTAAGAAAGATTGAACGACAGACGAAGAGTTTAGAGAGAAGTTCATACGAAGTACACTCATTAATACGTAGATATGTTTTCACAATACATGACTTAAATGCGACAACTACAAATTTGTCTATACGCGATTACAATCTCAAAACTGTACGTTGGTTATAATAAAGGCTTATATCTAAAATATTCAAGTATATTTTGTGCGCCAAAGCTCTACATGAGTCTTCGATGATTCAAGCATTGCCCATCACAATGTTTTTTTTTTAAAATAACCACTTCTTGTTCTTTCAAATCAAAAAAAAAAAAATAGTAACCTATTTCGGTGCTTTTCTGCAAATAAATATAATATTTGCGACAAGTAAGTATATATAGCGCTATTTTGAATACTTAAAATGTTTTACTTTAAACACAGAACTGAATAAATTCTTTTATTTCAAAAACATTCACCCGCAGTTTATTTTTTTTTCTGGCTGTAGGATGGTTGTACTAGTCGATGTTGAGTCATACTTTTGAATTATCTGTATTTCACTTAATCTAGGGGACATTTCATTGATTCTGTAGATCTATATTTAAAACTGATATGTGGTCTGATGTGTTACGTCATATTGGTCACGGGAGTCTTGCTTACATCATAAGTTGGGAAGTCTATTGCGAACGGAACCAATAGTCAAACTGTGAAGTTAATTTTACATCCATTTTGTATCAAGCGGGATTTATTTGTGCGATTAAATATAATCATAATAGGATTACCGTTAAATATTACTCTGCTACATGATTAATATAATTATTTTTAACAGCACATTCAAGTATAATATTGTTATTAAAATGTAATACTGACGACGTTTGCTTTGAATATAGCGGAAATGAATAGTATCGTATAATTTTTATACAGTTTACAATGATCACAGCTATCATTTAGTCTACGAGCCGTACATTAATTTCATTAACCATAATGTTCATTTTATCGGAATGCGCCGTATTGTAACCACGTTTTACATCGCGCAATTGGGACATTGTTAAATACACCACTTCTAGACATCTAACAAAATACGTCTAGGCATTACCTAGGTATTATCTAGAAACACGAAATAATTTCCATCCAAAAAGCTTGACCATAAGCACTGCGGTCGAACGCAGCAACAAGTCGTAAAAACCGTCTACATTAGCGTAAATACGTAGTAAAACATGGAAGCACTTTCGTGGACAGACTGCTTGCTATATCATCTGATATCAATCGTGCTCGAATAAATTTACCGATTGTCGATGAAGTTGTGATGAAAATAGTCTTTGTCTATTATTGATAACGTTTCATGTCCTGTTAACGGCCGTTTTCAATATGTAGTATAATTATATCTATGTGTAGATTTGGTTACCGGAGATAGAATTTTGGCGTCAGTATTATGGAGCTAATGTAAAAACCTATCGCTAGTAAACAAATCTACAGATAGATAGAACATTGAAAACGACCGTAAATCTATCGTGAATATTTTAAAAACTATCGAAGGTTTAATTCGCCCGAATCATAACTAGATGTGATGTGTGTGATATAAAGTTGGCTTGCACGGCTAAAAGCTTTTGTAACAGATAAGATATAAGATAGTATGCGTAATTAGAGGTGTATGTACATATTTTTTGACATACTGTGTAGAGGCAGACATACCACTAAGTTTGATGAATTATATTAGGTTTTCAAAGTTAACGATTTAATCATCATTACAAAACAGTTGATGTCAAACATCTATTTATCTTTGGTAATGCTATTAAATCAACAACCAGATTTATAAATCCTTTTTGACTTAAAGTTTTTATAGTTAAATAAAACATTGAAGTTATCAAAAGTGTGGTATTTTTCATCTTAAACTGTGATCATTAATCTGTCAAGTTTTCTTTATTTTTAAAACAGTACTTTAATTGGTTGATAAAAAACACCAAAGAATGTTCAGTACAATCGGTTCGAATGAAGCATCACACAAAATCTGCCAATAGAACTCATAAACCTGGCTGATGGGACAAGCAAAAAACAATAAAAATAATTAACAAATACTTAACAACGTAACGTAACAAAATACCAAACAATCGGTGTCCACGAATAGATCGGCTTGAATCAAGCGATGGCGCGGATCGCGACAAAACTGTCAAAAACATTTTATCCCGTGATTACACTTTTGTGATGCTCTTCAGTGTCCTGCTTCTCAGACATCTGTTTTAAAAAATATGTCATTATTACTATTGTCAATTATAAATAAACGACAGCTCAGAAGATTTATACAGATTCAGCTAGAAGTGGCAATTCTCATGTGGCAGTCTTGTACTGGCCATTTTAGTGTACGACGACCCATCTAAATGTGCGGGAAATGATGGATACAGGTGGCTCAAAATTGCGTTTCGTGGTAGTCTGTGAGGGAACCCCATCTCCAGCAGTGGATTTTAACTGATTGAAATCATGATGATGATGAATAATAGAATTACAGTTATTTCTGAAGAATTAACTTTTTTACAGCCACAATAAAGTTTGAACCTGTTGATCAGCGATAATCGGTTCGTATCTCACTACGATTACAAGATTTGCATCCGGAGACAGAACTTAGGAAAAAAAAAAACAGCCAAGGGTTCCGTACCATTATCTAGTGTGTAATTTGTTTTGTTTGAGTGCCCATACATCTCAGACGACTATCTTAATTGGTGTCAACTATGTACGTACGGGGATACCCTTTGATTTTCAACTTTTTTTATTATTTGGAATTTTTCCTTAATTTGTGCTGTAAAAAGCCCAAGCTGAAAATAAAGGTAAATTTGGAACTCACAAGTTTTCGCGAAAAATAGCTCATATCTTTTTTTCGTGTTGACCCAGGACTTTGATTTTATTTTACATACACTTAATAGGGACTATAGATTTCAGTATCTGGTATAAATTTCAACTTGCTAGGTCCACCCATTACTGAGAAATCAGCGGTGACACACGGACACGAGAGTAATCTTACAAGGGTTCCTTTTTAACCTTTTGAAGTACAGAACCCTAAATACATATTTAACGGGCTGGATGTGGCATCATAATCATTTTCTATATATATATCTGGGGAAAAAACCGGGAAACAAGAGGCTAGCGATCAATTTATACATATGAATGATTTAATACCTCACGACCACGCGATAGGTCATGAAACCGCCATACAGGCTCAGCACGACGGTAGCGGTCCACACGACGGCTATGGCGGAACTGCTGCCCTCTGGAATGAAGAGTACATTGGTTTTACCCAGTGCTTTTGTTAAATCACAACGTCAAATTTATTACGAGTATTACATCATCTTTTCGATCGTAATAAATTTAAAAAACTAAAATAAAGTAAAAAAATAATTTAACTCTGTCTGATTACGATTTTCTGAGGCTACTGACCACGGCGTTAGCTTCTATCGGCTCTTAGGAACGTCATTTGTGCAAGATTGCATTAATTGTTATGGTCCGTTAAGCTCTTTCGAAGTGAAGAGGGAACAAATATGCATCATGTGCATTTGGAACATTAGTGCGTATTCTTAAATTTGTCACCTATGTATAGTTGTGTGGCTATTATTTGTTACCTATGTATCCGTTGTTGTATGTCTCGCGGTCGAGCCAGGAGCGGCGCGGCTTCTCCTTTCGGTCCACGGCCAAAAGGTCCGGGATCTCGTCAGGCGATCCGGTGCAGTTGGCCCACTCGATTGTGACGTATCTAAGTCGGATTTAGTATCACAGTATGAGGGGACAATTGTACACGATGAAGCAATGATTTTTAATAATATAAATGACGCATTTCCATTCTGTGCGGCGTTTAAAAATTGTTCCGCTTTACATTGTACCCATTGGTGTAATTTAAGTCTTCTATTTCGGTACGCTAGTGACATATCTTTGTATATAATATTAATGACATGAAGGCACCATTTAAATTTTTGGGACTCAATTGTATATTCACGCTATTGCCATAGCATTTAATGATTCGCGGTTTATGTAACCCAACACGATACGCTCGATACCAAGCGAGCCAGCGCGACGTGCGGTACTCTTTATAATTAATTTATATGCCAATGAAGTATTAATATCTACGTTTTCATATTTTTGGAAGTGAAGGAAGTTATGGCGTTCGTACAAAAAAGAAATAGTATAAACATATTATGCGGAATCAAATACTATGATTACATATTTTTGGAAGTTATTGCTTTCCGACAAAAAGGAAATGATATCTTCTTATCCTTTAAAGATTTTCATGAAATTTTCTTGTCCTTTTATCCCTGTTTTATATATAATATATAAAAATAACTCGGTCGGTAATAGGGCGGCCCCAATACAGAGGGCCGCGGTTCATGAACTTATTTTTTTTTAGTATGTAATTTTCTTTATTTTTATTTTTTTTATTTCCAAAATTTTTCGAAGTCATCGAAGTTATGGCGGTCCGACAAAAAAGAAGCGTTATAAAGAGATTATGCGGCGTCGATGTCTACGTTGTTCATTGGCTATCACCTGGAGGAGGTCCTGCACGGCTTGGTGGGGGGCACGAGCAGCTGGCGGGTGCGCGAGCGCGCCCCCCCTCGGCACGGGCCCCACGAGCCCCACGGCCCCGGCTGCCCGAGCTCGGACTCCTTGCAGCCGCACTCCACCTCGCAGTTCTCGTCCTCCTAGGCCGCGAATGAACGGGTGAACGACCCAGTGAACCTTATTAATGCGTGCGCGAATGAACGAGCGAACGAAAGGAACCTTATTGTTGCGCACCAGCAAGAGTGAATGAATGGCAATATTTATTGCGCACCAAAAAATAAAAGACTTTTTTTATGTAAAAAGGTGGCAAGCGGGCGAAGTTCACCTGATGTTAAGTGACAACCGCATGGATATTTGCATCCGTAGGGACGTAGATCCATTGTCACATTTTAATAAAATGGGCTTCGGCTCACTCACTCGACGAAACGCGCTGAAGTAACACTTCCACTTCGCGCCGGTATTCAGTGAGGTCGTGGCACTTACCCCTACGGACCTGCCCATTCGTGCAACAGAGAAGGCCCTACCGTTAGAATAGACGGCGATTGCTACAGTGGTTATCTGAGAGCGTAAATTTTAACTTACTTTTGGTTTTGCTTATTTTAAGCCCGTAGATTATTTTAGATTATTTCATCGAACACGAACCGTGTTGGGCTAGTCAAAGCCCACAGAGCTTGATGACGAGTTTCTCGGAATTCATATGTGCTATAACCACCGCATTTCAATTGCGGGGTCGGATTTACCATCTACCGTGTAAATGTCTAACATTTCCAACGGTGTTGTTCATAATTTTTTCATTAAGTTCAAATCTCGGTCAACGTCCGCATGACCTATTGCCGGTATTAGCGAAAACAAGCAAAACAAAATTAATTTACTTGATAATGTAGTGGCGGGGCGGCAATGCGGCCTGGCAAGGCAGACGCGCAACGCCAGGGCTCCAAGTAAGCGTCGGCGTTGTCACCCACGCCGCTGAGTTCGCAGCGAGCGTGCGACACCTTCACGCCCCAACCGCACGCATTGTCTGCTTCCTCACCAGTCGAAGTCTGGAGTGACAGCATCTTGAAGCACTTTTTTTTTGGGTAAAATGTGATTGCGGTTTTGAATTGAATGCGGTTCAGCTGATGTCAAATGATCACGCCCCGAGGAGCATTGCACAACGTCATTGGAGTTGCAATTGCGTTGCTAACTTAAAAGGGCGCGCCCCGGTACAGTCTTGAGCTCATAGAATCGGGTCTAAGGTTTTCCTGCCTGTCGCATAAGGCGACTAAAAGGGGGCTATGATTTAAATGAGGCATATGTTCAGTGGGCTTTAACAAATTGAAATGATGATGAGCTGCAGATCATTGGGATGGTAACCTAATTTAACATTTTATTTTTACTCATGTTTATTTTTATTGGTATTTATTGAAATATTTTTTGGATTTTACGTATTCGATAAATGCTATAACTTTTTATTGTTGGTATTTGTGGTGTTGGCATGCAAATGTTCGTCACATAAGTATGTTTTATTGATGATTAAGTTATTAAGTTAAAATTCTTTGACGACATGAAAAAAGTATAAAGGTTTAACTTATAAGACTCGTCTGTATATAGTCTTTATATAATCAGTTTGGTATGAAAGACCTGTTTGAGATTAATTGGACAATAGCATGGATGTGGTGTAAGGCTGGTTTATAAAAGTATACCTGAACGTGGCAACCCAGGGAGGGCCGCGCGACCAGTCGCAAGCAGGGCTCTCTTGGGCACGGGGCTCTTTGTTCAGTTGGTGGACACGCTCGTTCCCGGCCAAACCGCCGCTGTTAGACGTTGCCTGCAAAGAAAGCAGTCAATATATGTTATATCTAATTGCATTGCATTCATTGTATTCTGGCTTACTTCCACATGACACAGATATACTTCTGTGTGTGTTCTATGGGTGTTCTTTAAAATTAAACGCTACTGATTGTCCAGCTATATGTCAGCTATGTCTAGTTGTCGTAATAAACAATTGTAGGAAACGATTATTTATTTATGTGAAAGTTGTGAAACGAGGAGGCGGTTTATCTGATAAAATGATTATAGCCCCCCACAGACGTACACAACATCTGAGTGCTTGCAGATGCGTTCACAACCGTTGTGGTACATGTTTTTTTAAACGGAAATAGGAGGTAAACAAGCAAGCGGGTCACCTGATGGTAATCGATCACCGCGTGGACACTTGCAACATCAGAGGATTCACAACTGTGTGGCCGGCCTGTGAGGTGCGAATAGGCTCCGTTCTTTAATGTCCCAAACTAATGTCCATGTGAAGCGGTAATTATTTAACATCGGGTGAACCGCCTGCTTGACAACTTTTCACGTAATTAAACATAGTTACAAAAACTTGTAACATTTTTATGTAAGGAGTTCAACACATGCGGAACTTGAGATTTCCTATAAAAGTAAAGAAATAAAATCCTATATATATCCCGCTGTCGGGGAAAAAACATCTGTACAGATTGTATTTCGATGACTTCGTGGCGCAGTTGCCAAGGTGTTGACTTCGGCGCCGAGGGTAATGGGTTCAATTCCGACACGGAACGACTATTTGCGTGGCCCACAGATAATTGTTTCCGATCGGCGTGTTTGTCCATGTGTAATTTATATTTATAAAGCGTTCACACAACACAGGATAATGTTATCCCCCAGTAAGGGAGGGAATTGAAGGGAAGACTATGTGTAAGGATAATGTTTTAAAAATATAATATAATTAAATTTCTTACATTTCATTTAAATTTTATACTAAAATTTCCATACAAATGATGGGATTACCTGGTTCGTCTCATGTGGCGGGCCACGTTGGCGTCGCCGCACGCGCACGCGCTGGCGTCCCAGGCGCTCCACTCGCCCAGCTCGCAGTCCACGCCGCAAGGCACGTAGCACCAGGACTCGCGGGCTTCGGTCGCCGTCGCGTTCTGCAACGGTACAGCCCATTCGTAACTGTGGCAGATCTGCGCAACAGTTTTCGCTGTTGCACGAATGGACTGGTCCGTCCGGGTAGTTACCACGACCCCACAGAAGACCGGCGTAAAGTAGAAGTGTTACTTCTGCGTTTCGTCTGGTGAGCGTGATAGCCGGGGCCCACTTTATCTAAAGGTGGCGACGCATTTGCAATCCTACGGATGTTGCAAATGTCCAGGGGCGGCGGTTATCACTTAAAATCAGGTGAACCGCCAACTTGTTGGTCACTTTTTCACATAAAAAATTGTTTAATGTTTTTTATTAGCTGATACCCGGGCTTCCGGAAGCTTCGCTTCATCTACAAGAATCTGAAATTCGACCTTTGGTGGAAAAGATAATAGTGAATTCACTGTCACCAGTACTACCTATCCGCCACTAACTTTACTATGTTCGTTAAAATGGTCATGTAGCCCTTTATATATATGCAAGTTTCATATCGATTGGGCTGTTTTCGAGTTTTAGATGAACATACATATACACACACGTTTCTCCTTTATATAAATATATATATATATATATATATATATAGATATATATATAGATTTAACTTTACCACAACTTTTACAGTTATACGTTCGTGAATTCGTTCAAACTTGTCGTAAATAAGTTGATTTGAAATGAGTGTGTGAATGTTACGTATGTTGTGCGGAACGATGATGTTTTCTTTAAATGCAGTGAAAAATTTGTCACTTACAGGGCAGAAAGAGTCGTTGACAAATACACCGTCGCTGCGTAGACAACGAACCGCTCGGTTCTTAGTTCCTTCACCACATGGGGAACCTCCTACAAAAGTAGAGGGTTATTAAAATCTTTATCTGTGATCTTTAATGAACACAGGCCACTATATATAACAGCAGAACACGTAATTTAGATATTTAAAATAAATGACAATAAGTCTTTGCAGCTTGAGGAAGGATAAGAGAAAATAAAAGTAGATATATATTAAATAATAAAGGTAGCAATATACATTCCTGATGGATACCACGACAGATATCTATTTCTCTAGTTTCTTCGCGATCTTCGCTCACGGTTTGCATATTGGTCTATTTAGGGGTTACTTATCAGACTTATATATTTTCTATTGAGGTCTATGCCATTATGGTCGCGAAACGTACGAGAGTGTATCGGCATTACATACACCGGCGAACTTTTTCACCTTGTGTAGCGTAGCCGACGTTTTTCAGAATGAACAGTCAACCTTCAACCAAAGAAGAAGAGATTTGTCTTCCGTCAACCACATAGAGGCACCGAATTTGAAGAGATTTTTCTTACCAAGAGGCTGACAATCATCCCACGGGGCGACGTGCCAGGAGAACGTGTGAGGAGCGCAGGGCTCCGCACCGACCAGGTGGGGGCAGGGCGCCCCCTCGTCATCGGCGGGGCGGAGCACCACGCGGGTACGATCACGGCGACCCCCCCACTTGGTCTGCAGTATTCGGAAATGTTATATACACAAGTATCAAGGTCAATATTCAAGTGAATATTGACTTCTGCTTATGTAGCCTCACTGATTTGATAGATTACGAAATATCTTTATGTCTTTTGCAAACAGAAAATTAAGGAGTAAAGAACGGGCCCGTGAAATGAGTCTCGGGTGAGAATGAACTGAAACTTCTTTTTATTAAAACGACGTCCACTTGTCTTTAGGTTTCGAAGACAACACTCCAGTATAATGAATCCTTGTTTTTGCGACGTTACCGAACTGAAACTATTAATTTACGGTAGAAAAGATTTATAACTTAACAGACTTTACTACACTCTGCAATCTATAATTTTTCAAAATGTTTTGTGCAACCAAATTTAATATGCGGAGTTGTCAGATTTCAACTAGATAGATACTACGAAATTTTATAATTTTTTCTGTATGAAAAATGAAAATGAAACTATTTTAAGGATTTTATCGCGTTTTAAATTCCCGACGAATCGAAAACTTTGCAGCGTTCATGGACACGGGGTAGGCATGTCAATGAGATAAAATTCGTAAAATAGTTTCATTTAACCATTTGTAATATTGGTGTAAAATAAGATATCAATAAGTATCCATTTGTAGTAGTACTTTAAGGTTTTACGAGTAGTCTCGTAAAACCTTAAAGTTATGGGAATTCAATAGAAACATATTGCATACATGGCGCATATATAATGCGCCTTTGAAGGAACTATCAAAGTCAAAGTCAAAAACTCTATTCAGTATAGGCTTATTTAAAGCTCTTATTGAACGTCAAAAACTACCACCGCCTCACTAAGCTAGACCTGTAGAAACGGTAACAAACTTTGTGGTCTTGTTACCCTTTAAATATATAAGTCTACAAAATTTATAATTATAAAATCAGCAGCAGCCTAATTATAAAATAATTGCAAGTGCAGAGGAAGAGTCATTTGCACACATGCTTGTCCTAAGTGTATTCTTCGACATTATAGCAGGCCCTTTCCACTAGGGTGGCTTTTACAAAACTTTGAACTGTTGCACGATGAGCTTTGGACCTAAATGTACTATTCGAAATTATAACAGGCCCTTTCCACTAGGGTGGCTTTTACAAAACGTTTGAACTGTTGCATTGAACTGAAGAGCTTCGGAAGTCACCTGCTCGCAGGGGCTCCATTCGGACCAGGTGCTGACGACGCAGTCGGCGGGGCAGGGGGCCCGGCAGGTGGCCTCGCGCGCCGGCGGCTGACCAGCGCCGCTCATCACGCACTCGGTGTCCTCCAATTTCGCGTTGTTCGAATCCCGGCAACTGTTTTTTTTATTTTTTTTATGTGGGAAGTAGCAAACGAGCTTGGCGGTTGATCTGATGTTAAGTGACAACCGCCGCCCATGGACATTTGCAACCCGTACGGTTGCAAATGCGTTGCCACCTTTAAATAAAGCGGGTCCCGGCTACCTCACTCGCCAGACGTGTAACACTTCTACGTTACGTCGGTCTTCTGTGAGGTCGCGGTAATTACCCGGACGACCTGCCCATTCGTGCAACAGTGAACACACATACGTTGCGTGGTCTTAACACAGTCGAACTGTTCGATTATCATGTAAAAAGCGATAATAATTTTTAGTTATAATATCGGCAGCTGTTCAATTGCGGTTGGAATGATAATTTTAAGCTAATTTTTGTTCGCAACTCCAGCACGTCCAAACGGTTTTCGATTTAAATTCATATTATTTCCGGACATGATCTTAGAACACATAAAAAAGGTAAGCAAAATTTATTTTGTGGGTACTAAGTAATGATCATCCTTTTTTTTTTGTAAATGAATACATTTCTATAGATAATTAAACACCCATATACTAGAAAAACACTATGTTCATTCCACTAATTATATTTAGCAGTATCCATCGAACTCACACCTTCTGGCGCAAGGGACGGGTTTAAATTTTCGAGTTTAATTTTAGACATGTAGTTCGGATATATATGCCTATGTTTACAAATGTTACTTCAAAATGGCACATATCCTTATTACCTCAAATTTGAGGGGGAAAATCCTCAAAAAATCATTCACAGAGGAGGCGTATGTTACGATTGAGTTTTGATTTTTATATCTAATGATGAAATATGTACAATTAGCGGCAAGAGCTTACGGAAGGTTCCAATATCTTTACCATGTTACGACGGTCGTATATTACAATTAGTTAATTTAATTATATACAAGTTATAAAGTATGTTTGTTCTTTTCCGTCTTAGTCCACATAGTATCGTCAATCAAGTGAACAAGCCTGGGAGATATTGGGACGGTTGTTGAACGGGCAGAAAACTTGGTTCGCTGTTGTTTGCACGACGCTCAGTTAACTTACACGACTGTTCTGTTTATGATGGCTCTGCCGCATAGCGCGTCCTGTGGCGCGCACACCGACCACGCGCCGACATCCCAAACGGGCTCCGATACAAGGCAGCTGGCTCGCTGGAGCGTTGCACCGCACTCCCTGCCGCCAGCGGAGCCCTCTTCTATCACTTCCCTGAAGAAAAAAATTGTGACGTGTGCTGCTAGTCCGGCGGGTTTAAGAGCTTCGGCAGAAGAGGTCCGTGGGCAGACGACCCGTGGACAACATATCTGGAAAACAGATCTTTTGTAGCGTTCCTTTTATGGTGTTTTAAGGGTCATGGTACTTCTACCCGGCCTCGCGGTGGCCATCGATAATGAGGGTGTTACTTCTATGCTGATATAAATGTACTTTTTTTATGGTGTTATAAGGGTACTTCTATCCACCAAAATCTTCGTAGTGCTCATCGTTAATGAGGTTAGTTCTTTTATGGAGTTATGAAAGTAATATTAGTTCTACTCAATGAAGAAAATATCTATCTAGTGAATACAGCTTATAGAATTAGGTACACTTTTTAAAGTTATCCTTACAATGGGATGATAGATTAAATTGAATAGGAATATAAACAACCAGATCTGAAAGAATTCTCATGATCATACAAATACTTAGCCCGAGTGGGAAACGACCCCACGAATTTCATTCAAACGTTATGAAAACCTATTGTACTTACCTATTGTTTAAAATTCAAAGTTCTCTATTTCTATCTCGGTTTATGTGATAAAGTATAGTATATTGATACATATGATAAGTATTCCATTTCTATTTTGGTATACATGTATCGAAGTGGTCTCGCGGCGGTCTTCTGTGAGGACGTGTTACTTACCCAGACAGCCCAATTTTCAAAAGGTTCTCAACGCCTCTACAACCCTCGGGTGTAGCAGATGTCCATGGGCGGCGGTATTCACTTAACATCAATCAGGTGAACCGTCTGCTCGTTTGGCAACTTTCACATAAAAAAAAGACGGACCTGCCTATTCGTGCAGCGGCAAACACTGCTGGACAACGTGCCCTACCACAGTTAAAAGTGTGGGTGATAGTATAAAAGGGAAACCTGGTGCGGAAACGGAAGGCGGCCCGAGAGCCCGGCTCGGCGGAGCAGGCGCCCCAGGGCGCCCAGGGGCCGGCGGCGCAGTCCCTGGCGCAGCGGACGCTGCACGCGCCGCGCACCAGGCTCGGGAACTCCTCGTCGTAAGCGAATCCGTCGGTCGACGCCTCGCGCACGCGGCGCGGACCTTGAGAAGTATTTTTTTAAGGGAAGTCTTCTTTAGGCGCAATAAATTTCTAATCCTCTCTAAATTTTCGATTTCTGAGTAACTATAACGTATGCATTAAGCAATAAGTAGCTCTTTCGATGCAGGTATATTTCACCGACTGCACTGATATTTTGAAATCGTACGAAAGATCCATTTCTTTAATCGATATTCTAATCTATCGTAACGTTGAGTTTTTCTTATTTTATGTGTAACTAATGCAAATAGGAAATACCTGTCAGTGGATGATATTTCTTACAAATGTCCATCGGAACATCACGTCCTTTAACCATACAACGTGCGGCCCTCAAAGCTCTTCCTTCACCGCACTCCATTCTGTTAATAAAGATTATCTGTTTATTTCTGTTCGACTCATAAATATAAAATGGTTATCGCATTATGTGGAGGAAACAAACCCTGTCGGCAAAATGCAGTCGGAGTCGGCTGGTAGTAACTCCAATGAGACGGTCTTGCAAACACAATTTGGAACGTCTGGGTCCGATGCGTCGAGGTATCTAAAAAGGGTTTTATTATGGTCGAAAGTTTAAACGATTCTTGAAAGGCGAATAATAATTATCCATATACTATTTCATAGTGAAAAGCCTGTATAAAACACTTACTTCAAGGGATCTGCGCAGATGACATCACATGTTAGGGGTATAATACTGTCACAGGTAACAGTGCAAGACGCCACGCTGGCTGGCACTAGTTGACCAGCACACGCCCCCGCTTCCACTCGATGGGAGTCAGACCCACACCAGATGCCTGGTGATTGCAATAGAACGAAATGATGAAAGGTAGCTGAAGTCTGACTATGGTGGAGTCACGTAGCAGTCTTCAGTGATGCACGAAAATGCAGTCGTTTCACAGAAGACCGGCGTGAAGTGGAAGTGTTATACTTCTGCGTTTCGTCTGTTGGGTGAGGTAATCGCGGCTCACTTTGTTGAAAGATAGCAACGAATTTGTAACCTTGCGGTGTTGCAAATATCCATGGACTTAACATCATAGTACATAGTACCTACTGTACATTCTACTAGCACCACTCTGTGGTTAAAAACCTACAGTCCCTCAGAGTTGGTTTCAGTTGTTCTCTGGAATAGTTTAAGCTTGCAAATCGATGGTATATTAATCCTCTTTCACTTATCGTTTAATTATTCGTTGATATATTACTTATTAATTGTCATATGCATCATGTTCTTTTTCGTTTTTGGTGAGAAAACAGACGATCCTAATCACAGTTATTGTTAAGTAAGCGCTCACTTGTCCAAGAACACATCGCCCTGGTATAAACCATTCGGTGGGTAACAGACGAACTCACTCCTCACTCTGTAGCCAAGGCCGCACCGCTGGCCGGGGGGCAAGCGGCAGGTGCTCCATTCACCGGCGATCCAGGTGGCGTCACGGGAACGACACGACGGCGGCACGGGGCAGTCGCGGGTCTCCTGCACGGGCCCGCAATTCGGTCCCCCGTGCACCGTGCGCACGCGCACTTGCTTCCCCGGCTCTACAAGGGCGGAGGAAAGTCAGCAGTTGCGAAAGAGCTCGCCGTACCAATGAATATTTATAACGGACAATTGACACGTCTTAGTTACATAAACTCTAACATTTCGAAAAGTTGATGAAATAATTTCCCCCATACAATATTGGAGGATTAAAGCGTTACTAAAATAATATCCAGGTAGGTGACTAAGATAGATAAAGAATCATCCGAATCAAATGCTTCAATTCTATAGCAAAACGAATTTATGTGTATTGTCATTATAGATGTCGTCCCATCCGTCAACATTTCTCACCATCTATAATAGAATGGGGTGGTAAACATGGAAACGTCACAAAATTTGCAGAGATATCTTTACCCTTGTTCGAGTTGTTCTAATTTAATTTCAGTTTCTCATCAGATGTATCTAGATCATTTTTTAGTTAAATTATTTAAATAGTTAGCGAAATTGTTTACCACAAGTGTTGAGGCACGGAGACCACGGCATCCAAGCCTCCACTCTGCACCCTCTTCTACATCTCAGAGTGCAGGCGCGTCGAGATTGAGGGCGACGCAATGGCGAACATCTTAAAATATTAGAAGTTTTTAATTCATTCCAACTATATAATACAGTGAATTATATTACATGTACTGATTTCGTAGTAAAATACAAGATTAATTACGAAATTATTTCAACTCACAAAGAATCGCGTACGACGTCGGCATTGTTCTGAACGCACATGACATTTCTGGTGATTTGGACCTTCTTCGATGCAGGGCTCTTCCTCATCGCTCTCATTGTATGGTTCCCCCTCCTTAAATGTAATCCGTATAATTAATGAATCCGTAACATAGGTTAATCTATCTTACTCAGTACTGACGCCCGGTTTCTGAAACACTGATCATCGTAGAAATTAACTAATCAGCTGTCAAATTGGTTGGTTGATTGGTTGAGTTTGAATGAGTTGCCAAAAGGATGGTTAAACTCTTTGAGACACTCTTTGGGCATTATACTTCAAATGTGAATTCTGGTAGATTAATTAACAAAAACATTCGGCACTGCGGGAATTGAACTGCGTCTTCTGGGTAACGCGCCCAGATGCTTTACCTATTAAGCTTTACTGTATACTTTAACAACTAGAGTACAATTCCTGGCACTGGTATCAATGAATTTGTTTCAGTGTAAAGCATGAAAACTTGAATTAGAAGATCTTGAGGAAAGCTGTATTCGTATCGAATGGCTTTCTTCGTTATGTGTAAAGCAAAATAGAATAATTGTAAATATTCTAGCGACGGTTGAGGTCAGTCAGACGGCTGGTCATAAAAATATAGCCAACATCGCTTACAACATGATTTAAATGTTATGGCCCGCCATATACCAACATACCAACCCCACCTAAGTGGGATAAGGGCAGGAGGATGATGATGATGCATAAATTTTCCAGCGTCAGTTTTTCTTTTTTTGGTAGGATAGCTATCATCAGAGGGGACGGTATAGACAGAGATTACTCGGTTAACCTTAAAAATCGTAACTGTATCACTGTATACCTGTAGGTCAGTGTAATTTGTAACGGGAATGAAATCCTGATGACGCCGTTCACAAGGTCCCCACGGCGTCGCGAGCCAAGAGTATGTAGCGCACGCGTGGTTGTTACACGTCTCGTTTTGAACAAGTTGGTCTTCTGTAGGGCATGGCCAGCCGTCTGAAACAACGTATTTCTTGTAAAAAAAATTTCTGTAAAAAAAAAAATATAATAAATAAAAATGTAATAAATAAAAAATTCTGTAAATAAAAAAAAAATTCTGTTCATTTATACAAGCTAGTGTTTAGTAAAATGCTTAGAGATACATTTCTAAAGGCACATTTGTATTCTTTTGATTAGACAATTTAATTTTTTTACCTGTTTCTTTTTCTCATTTAGACAACTTTGGATGGTGAAACGATTTTATTCAGTATACGTAGTAGAGAAGTGGAAATGTTACTCGTCTGTGTTTCATCTGGTGAGTGAAGTAGCCAGGGTTCACTTTATTATTAGGTAGAAAAACATCTGCAATCCTACGGGTGTTGCATATGTCAATGGACGGTGGTTATCACTTAACATCTCGCTTGCCATCTTCTCATGATCTGTTCAGTAAACGGTACAGAGCAAACGGTGACCACACTATTGCGGTAATACGAGAGGATTCGGGATTTACTTTTTTCGCTCTCTGTGCGAGGCGTGTCGTTGCGACTTAGTTGCGGCGTTTACAGTCAGGCGGTATTTTGGGACAGGTTATTTGTAGAGCTGTGATAGTTCTGGGTCCGTTTTTGGAGAAATAAAAAAAATGTTTCAAATGTACGTGAGTCTGCCAATCCGCAGTGGTGCACTACGCCCTTACGGCCTATGTAAGAAGCAGCCTTTATATATATTACTATTTAAATATTTATGGTGCATCTCTGTAATTAAGGTGAAAGATTAAAATGTGTAGATTCGCGTCCAGGCGCTTTAACAGCTGATTGTCACACCGAAAAAAATCTCAGGGTCTTTTATTTTTTTTAATTCAAAACTGGCCAGCAATTTACTGCCATCCCACTTGATGGTAGGTGGCGATGCAGCCGTTGATGGTAAGCGCTCAGTAAAAACCTATTCACTCTAGCCTTGAAGATGTGTTATGTATCTACATTGTTTTTCGCACTTCAAGCAATGCTAGGCGCAGTGCTTTTTTCTCGCATTTTACTTTTTTTTCTTTAAAAAAACACTGTCCTCACTTTAGAATAACATCATCCTGTGTTGTGGACGTTTTACAAACACAAATTCCACACGGAAAAACGCCCAGATTCGAAACAACTCTGTGGATCGCACAAATAGTTGTCCCGTGTGGGAATCGAGCCGACGACCCCCGATACCTTGGCAATTGCGCCACGGAGTCATCAAATCGAGTGAGTCATCAAATCTTTATTCTACGCTGTTATCTGTGCTCACTGGGCGAAGCGTGCGCGACGATCTGTCTGGTTCGCGTCCTGGTGGGGCGGGGGCGCGCGGGCGCCGTGCACGTCGCGGAGCAGGGCGACCACGTCGACCACGCGGACACCACGCAGTCGCCGGGGCAGGCGATTCGGCAGCGCTCCGTGCGCGTTGGCGCGCCGCTGCCGCTGCACCAAGCCCGCTGCGCTTCTTTCTGTTGGCGTATACGAGGAAATATCTATGATATTATTAGTGAATAAACACGGTGGTAGAGCCACGCAACAGTGTTCGCTATTGCACGAATGGGCAGGTCCGTCCGGGTAAGAACCACGACCTCACAGAAGACCGGCGTAAAGTAGAAGTGTTGCACTTCTGCGTTTCGTCTGGTGAGTGAGGTAGCCGGGGATCACATTATTAAGAGGTGGCAACGCATCTGTAACCCTACGGGTGTTGCAAATGTCCATCAGGTGAACCACCAGCTCGTTTGCCGCTTCCCCACATAAAAAAAATAAACAATTGCCATCCCCAGCTCTCGGATCAGAGTATTATATATTGTTATTATATAGTATACATTCGGATCCGAGTGGTCGGCACACAGCACGTGGGGGGGAATTTTGATTAAGCAAACATTCATGTTTACTTAATCAAAATTCGCCATAAAAAGTTTTGGTTCCCGGCTATTACTGTGTATCCATTGTTCAAGCACTCAATGTGTTAAGGATCAACGTGCTGGCATTTCACGTTTAGAGCTCTGTTTGGTATGAAAAGTGTGTAAAAGTATGTCCGGTGGCGTATTAGAGAATCAAAGTGTCGATATTTCACGTTTAGTGCTTTGTGTGGTATGAAAAGTGTAAGTTCTTTGTAAGGATTGCGACAGAGGGGCTATCTAGAATATCAAAGCTAACTCATTGAATAGTTTTAATTCTTATATAATATTAAGACATTGCCATCTTAATGTTGTCAAGATTTATTTTATAAAATCGTTTAGTTAGGTACTTTTGAAAATAATGTAGAACATCGTTAAACAACAACGGGATCTCGACTGTTTTTTTTTTTCTTAAAATTTGGAAGATAGGGATTGCAAACTTTACCCCAGTTTCACATATTCAGTCAAAATCGTGATAGGTGAACCTGAGCTCAAACGATATAAGTGATTTCTACAAGTAAAACTTTAAAATACTTCTGAGACAGGACATATTCACACAATGTCATCTATTCCCAAACTAAACCAACTAGTACTATGGATACTGGGTAACTGATAAACACACAGTTTTTGGTAAATAAATACATATTATAGATATATAAACACCCAGACACTAGAAAAACACTGTGACTATTACAAATTATTGCAGCAGTGGGGATTGAACCAGCAACCTCTGGCGCAAGTGATAGGTTCATTATTGATGACCCCGTCAAACTAGTATTTGAGATATAATTATGTATAACTAAGGCATCAGATACCATTGGAAATCTTCAGTCAGTACCATACGTACAGACACGAATCTGCTAAACATCTAAGCAAAATTTAAGACTTTTAAGGGTAAACAGTTTAGTGATTGAATATCTTTAATCATGTGTACTGACCCCGTCGTGTCCCATGCACCTCAACTCTCGCATTCGCCTGCCCGGTCCGCAGTTGGTGTGAGGCTGGGTCAGGACGCAGGGCCCCCACGGCAGGGCCTTCCAGGACGCGCAACGGGGCATCGTGCACATTCTCTTCTCTTCTAGAGGTGGGCAGTTGGCCCCGCCACCGGACTCCGCTGACGTCACACGGCGACGCCGCACGCTGTACCCTGGGATCAGTGGACGGGAATTGTAGCAAAATTAACGGAGGTAATTGATATTTGTGCACAGAGTATGTAAACTTTTACACTTATATTGAAGCTACACTATGGTGGCATGGCATAAAAATGAGCCTTTCTTGATTAAAAAAGAAAACAATGGTCAACACGATCATGATAAAAATTATCATTATATATCGAGAGCTTAATTGAAATTTATAGAGTGACGTCCTGTGAAAGTGTGGGAAGTCGATGAATGTAGGTGGCTCAGGATCGTACTTCTTTGCGATCTGGGAGGGAACAGACTGAAATGATGATGATGGTGAAGTGAAATTAAGGCCACCCTGTTGTGGCCTCAATTGATGATAAGAATTTTTTCATAGGTTGGAAAATTTCAGGTCAAATTTTGTGACTCATACCGGTAGCGGTGAGCTCTTGTACAGGGTAAAGAGGACAACCGTCAATTGGTTGGCACGCCCCCCAATCGCCCCATTCACCAACTTCGCAGTCACGGGGGCATGGTACCTTAAAACAAATTTTAGCTATTTTTTTAACATTCATAAAAGAGGAATCTAATGATAACTTTAACGATGAACATTTGTAAAGAGAGTTCTTAAATTTTAAGACCAATGATGGTGACATCTAGCGTGCTATAACATTATGCAGTCATATGATATAGCTAAGTTTATCACCATACCTGTTAATAAAACAATACTAAGAAGCGTAAAAGATAACAACATAAATGTAAGAACCAATTATAAGTAATGAAAATAATAAGTTAACGTATATTTAATAACTAAATATACATACATATAACGCCTTTTAAATGTTAAAAAAATTAACATAATATAACGAAGCGCACCAAAGAGTTCACATACTTCACACGGTTGCACAAGCGTAGGCATGGGGGCGTGCGCGCATTGCGCAGGGTGCAGCGCCCTCCCGTCTGCGCGCACGCAGGTGACGTCACGTCTCTGCACGCCCCCTCCGCAACTCGCCTCTTGCCCCCCCTTGTCCAGCTCGTCGGCTTCGTCGTCGTCGTACAGCGCGTCGCTATCCTCGGAATCGTCGTCATCGTCCGCTACGAATTCGACATAATTTATAGGTTATTGAATGAAACTATTTTGACGTATTTTATTATTAAAATTTGTAGAAAATGTATATGTTAAAATTTGTATTTTGTTGTGCTTTTAAACTGTCGAAATTTAGAATGTTTCAGATACAGGGCACGAGCCGTCTCATTGTTTTATTTATAATTAAAAAATATAATCTAGGTAAATATACGGAATCATTGTTCTTTATTTAATTTTTGTCGTGATGACGTGAATTTTCTATAGTCAAGTTGGGCAATTTTGGTTGAGACGTATATGTATGTACATCAGTGATATGCTAATATTACATGTTTTGTCATTGGCGTTGATAACGTTAAAGTTTTGATACTATTGACATTCTTATTTTTATAATTTATTGTAATATATGGAAAACGCAATCGATTCACCAGATGTCACGGATTCTACTACTACACGCCTCAGTATACACACAACCGCATATTATTTTGCTTCATAATGAATTGTCAATTTTAATAAAGCCCGTAGCTCTGAACTACGTTATGCTACAGAGTACGCTACGTAATCCTACAGTGCCCGCTACGTTTTGCTACGGAGAAAGCTATACTCAGCAGAAAGTTTATTGAAAAGACACTTGCTCGTTTCGCTCTAAGGGTGTGGAAATGTCATCAGTCTGCCGTAATTAGTAAACGACTTTTCTGCTTCAACCATGCTTTAGCAGTGGTAGGGCCAGGACACAGTCTTCGCTGTTGGCAGGTCCGTCCGGTAAGTACCACGACCTCACAGAAGACCAGTGTGAAGTAGAAGTACACATCTGTGTTTCGTCTGGTGAATCAGGTAGCCGGGGCTAACTCTATTAAAAGGTCTGCAACCCTATGGATGTTGCAGATGTCAATGGGCGGCGGCTATTATTTAACGTTTTACACCTTCGCACATAAGAAAAAAGCAGTGGAGTAGCAACTGAAAAATTGACTTACAAGGAGGTGGGGTAGCGGGCTGGGAAACGGCGACACGGCATCGACCCCAAGGTCCAGGTGTCCAATGAGCGCTGGCCTCCAAGGTGGCTGGACGCACTTCCTCCACCACGTCACACTCTTTCCCGCCTCCTAACGTAATCAAAAGTTAAGGTATAAATCCATATAGATATGTATGTGTTAATCGTTCATATATGTGATTTATAAGCATACAGACCTATATTAAAAGTATTTACTTACGATGTTATCTGTTAATGTTACTTTTTAAGGAACAGAACGCCTTAAGGCGTCCACCACTTATCATTTTGAACGCAATGCCACAGAGAATAACTTAATAAATAAATTGTATAATCACGAATGTTACTCTCCGTTGCAGAAATAAAAATTACCCAGTTTCTACTATCCTTGAGCACCTCTTTTCACTCATATATATATAGCACAGGAATATGTGTATGTAAGTAAAGATTGAGTTATGTTATTTATAATGTAATATATTTATTTATTTTTATTAAATTTTGGTTTATTATATTTTAATCTGTTTTGGTATTATTAAGTAAGTTTATTGAGCACTCCACCTCCCACTATTCATTATAGTTTATTTTTATTCTTCCTAAGGTTGTCTGGAAGAGATCGCTTTTTAGCGATAGGATCCGCCTTATTTTGTCTAGCTTTTAGGATTTATGTTATACTAATTGTATTTAATTCTTTGCGGTGTACAATAAAGTGTATGTCAGAATTACTTTTATTTATTTTCCATTAAATATAATATTATTTAAATTTATGCATTCAAGTTGCTATTTTACCTTGAGCCAGTCGGCGGAGTCGTCTTGTGCGAACTAGGGCGCCGTCAGAGCGAGGTCGCCATGGCAACCATTCCGCCAGGGAGCAGTCCTCGCGCATAACGCACACCCGAGTTGTGCCAACGTGAGAAATCGCAATACCGCAGTACCTAAAGCACCAAAGAAACATTTGAATGTGTTATCATTCAAGCAGCGTAAGGGAAGATATTAAGTAATAGGATGAATAACAAGTACAGCTTAAACGAACGGCACTAACTAGAAAGGGGAAGAAATAGAAATTATTTTTTTTCTGTCCCTTCTACGAAACAAACGAGCTAATAATTTTTGAGTCCTCTCTCTTCAGGAGCATTCGAAAAGCAAGAAATTTTAAAATAAATTAATTGCGAGAAAATAAAATACATAAAATCATTACTACCATAAAGTCATTTCATTTACATGCCAACATGTACTTGAGTATGCAAAATGTGTTTTCGGGTAAAATGTATATTTCCAAGTTTTTGAAGAAGCAGTAAGTAAGACTTCAATTAGAGAGAGGGTTTATTTTCTCCAGCTTCATCCATGTATCAACATGTGTGTTATTAGTAAAATAAAATAATGCAGCACCATGCAAGTGATGGAAATAATATTTCTGAAATAAAGGCGATGGTTCGCACGTGGAAAATAGTTCAAACCAGGGATATCCAAACAATTTTAGGCAAGGATCCCTTTTCCAAAATGAATTGATAACCAAATTACTTAAAAAGTCCTATTTCTTGTTTTTAAAAGCACAACAATGATACTTCCTACTAAAATATTAGTCATTATTATAGCAACTTAAAATAACCCAACTTATACAGTATCTTGAGAGTTTCGAATAAGAAGTTGTGTTAATTAATATGTGACGATTTTTAAACCTCATCGACCCCAAGGGTCCGATATCGGCCACTTTGGGAATCCCTGACCTAAACCGTTTATTAAATAAACATTGCGTAACTTTCTTTCTCCTTCTCTCCAGGTTATGTCTTTTCTTTTATGTAGCGAACATGGGCCTAAACGTGGAGCGTCCTTAACTTTCATTTCCAACTCATTCCAACTCAAGTCCAATTTTCGAGTCACCTAAGACATCATAATACTTCGAGATACTTAAAGTTACAGTAAAACAAATGAACGCGCTGCTAAATGTAATAAAACTCACATGGCCTCAACGTACTGGCCGTCTTTCCTACGGCATTGCACTTGACGACGTTGCAATCCAAGTCTTGGGGTATGCACCAAGGAATCCTCTTCAACCCGCGTATTGTATCTGCGTACAAATACAATAATACAGTTTGTTTAGATCAATGTGTTTTGGGAAAGGTATGTTATAGAGTTACAGTTAGTTTGCTATTATTTATAACTGGCGGTTTCTTTCGGGGATCACAGCACTTAAAATTGAAGTATAGATATAAGATACTTGGGATAAGAAGGTAGGGTAATTGGGAATGCTAATGCAATAATAGAGTTTTATAGATGTCAATGACCGGCAGTAATCAATATATGTAAGGCGTTTAATTTTTGGTGGTAGGGCCACGCAGCAGCCTCGGCTGTTGGATGAACCTTATAGAAGACCGGCGTAATGTGGAAGTATAACACTTTCGCGTTTCTTCTGGTGAGTGAGGTGGTCGGAGCCCAATTTTGAACGCATCGCAAAAGGTTGTCAACGCATCTGGAACCCTCGGGTGTAGCAGATGTTCATGGGCGGTGGTATTCACATAACATCAGGTGAACCGTCTGGCAATTCTTCACACTAAAAAAATAGGCGGATCGCCTTTTAATATGTCCACTAAAATAAGTGCAAGGGACTATTAATTATAACATTTTACCTAGAATTAATAATAACATATAATTTGAAAGGAGACGCGACATCCTTTCTCCTTATCCATTTCTTGACATATTTCCCGTATTATTTATGCCAGATTTTCATATGCGTCAGAAAGATTAAATTATATACTTAAAGTGTTAACTATTTCGTATACAATATCCGGAGTAAGTCTTGTTGCTGAGCATAGGCGGTTTCTACAATATTCAAGACCACCTGAAGAGTAATAAAAAAGGTATTGTAGAAACATAATAAAACGGAACCAACCTTTCCATCGAGCGTTCGCCTTCTATGTTAGTAGTACATTCCGTCCAACGCCCAACGTACACGGAGTACTCCGCTTCATTGATCTCCAGATCTGCGGCAAGCGAAAGAAATTGTGTGGAGTATTTTAAATCACAGTGTTGCACCAATGTGCAGGTCCGTCCGTGTAAGTACCACGACCTCACAGAAGACCGGCGTAAAGTAGAAGTTACACTTCTGCATTTCGTCTGGTGAGTGAGGTAGCCGGGGCCCACTTTATTTGAAGGTGGCAACGGTTCATGGGCGCCGGTTATCACTATTATAACACATAACATCAGGTGAACCGCCGGCTCGTTTGCCAGTTTCACAAATAAAAATAAATGTATTCACAAGTCGGCACCTATTTAAGGAACGTGTTTACCAGTGTAACTAGTTAACAGCTATAGGAGTCATTGCTTAAGGTATTAAAATATCAGCCTCTAGTAAAAAGAACATAGAATTACGGAGCTATTTCATGCGAACAAAATGGAAGCCTTGATCGTTCACTAGTGAACCCAGTAACAACGACAACACAGAATATGCTCGTGTTAGCTCAGCCGACCAAAAGTGCTCTCCAGTTCTTACTCTAGTGCCTTGCTTTCATCAGGATGAGTTCAGGCTCGGTGTCAATCACACTGATTTATTTATGTCAAAAATAAAAAATAAGGGCTGTTTATGATAATGTTTACTTTATTTTTCCAAGTCAAATTATAAAATAATATATAAATATATGGAAGCTTCGGTTTCAAGACCCAAACCGAGACCCTAGCTGAAATTCGGTCTGGGTTTCGGGCATCAAAACTACTTTCGGTTAGGCTCTAAGTTACCCTATTTCATCACTCACTAAGACAAAGTCCTTTGCCTTGCGTGTGGGGTAATGCTTTGAATACACAGATACACAAGTCTCTTAGATTGAAAGTAATGTGTGCTACGTTTTAGCATATTCACAGTAACTGTTATGTATACGACTTGACAATGAAGACAAACGGGGGATATTACCATAATGAGAATAAATTGTTACATTGTATGCGTGGAAATAGGATTTGTAGAGAAATAAAAACATCCTTTTGTCTTTGTTTTCCTGCTTTACTGTTACTTACTTCATCTATCTTTTATCTTCTGTTTTAATATTAAACGCAGTAGTTATCAGCGAGCAGACACGGAGAAATTCACTCGCCACCATGGAAAATCGTTACCGAGTGTACGGAGGTCATCTAGATCTGTGTACTATCCCGCTATATTATATGTTACAGGTAAAAACAAACCATTTTTTTAATTATACGAGATATAATTATGTTAACAGTTTTTGTATTCAATAATTATTTGGTCAACATGTATTTTTTTGTTTGCACTGTAACCTTTTATATTCAAGTGGAGATAAAACAAAAAACTGGCCAAGCGCGAGTCGAACGTGTCTGTTGTATGGGAGCCCTATTTAAATATTTTTTATTCTGTTATTTAGTTTTTTGTTGTTATAGCAGCAACAGAAATACACCATCTGTGAAAATTTCAACTGTCTATCACGGTTCATGAGATTCAGCGTGGTGACAGACGGACAGACAGACAAATAGACAGACAGACAGACAGACAGCTGAGTCTTAGTAATAGTCCCGGTTTACCCTTTGTTTACGGAACCCTTTATAGTGGCCATGCTATGTATCTTGTAATTTTTATATCATACATCGGATGATGATTAATTCAATGTTTCCATCATGTAATGTTTATAATAATTATTATTAATCAAAGCACTACAATTTTTTATTAAAGCTTGAAGAAATTTGAAGAATCTTCTGTCACCATCAAAATTATATTAAAATCAAGTACATGTAATATAACATGTTTTGTTATTAGTAAATTTATCGTGTCTTATTTATGGAAAGTAAATTGAATTATTACTTGACTTTAGTGGTCTGGAGTTGCGATAATAGGAATTTATTACCTGATGCTAGCAGAAAAGAGATTTACAGCCATAGCAACAACTAATTAATATTGGAATTTCTCCGTTACTAATTGATGGCGTGGTGCGGGAACGTGGATTATGTTTTGACGTCATAATATAGGTATGAGGCATTTTTGTGGCAAAGCCATATTAAAATTAATGATTGAGACATAATTTTAAAGACTATGATTGACTCGACATTTTCGCTAAAAAAATATAAAAGCATAAATAATGAAGGAGCGTTCTGGATGAATAATTTATTCGACTCGCGCGGTGGCTACGTGATTGACACTGGCTTATCGTGTCAGGTTTCAATTCTCATACGAAATAAGTATTTAAAAGGTCTTCAGATGATTGATCCGGATTGGGTTGCATGATTTGTTAATAAAATTATTTTATATGCGATACAACTTTATCCAAGAATAGTCACAAAGTGTATAAAAAAATAAAGAAAAGCGCGCTATGGAAAAACGGAACCGTCGTGGGGATCAAAGAATTATTGAACTTTATAATCAACTAGACCCATTAAGAGTTGAAACTTCCCTGTACGAGTTTCTCCGTTTTCTAATAAATATACATTATGTTATATAACAAACAAACAATAAAAAGATAAAAGCAAATCCTCAATAAAATTTGATGCGCGAATTTTCCTTTGTCTATTTAGCTTAACCTAAGTAACAAGTCTGCTTAGTGTTCGGAAACTCAGCATACCAGCAAACTTTCATCCGTTCTTGTATAAGTTATTATTGGTAAGTTTGTTGCCATAGACGAGGCCTTGCAAATCTCTGGTGTAGTATACTTTTTAATCTTTTCATATACTTAAATTTGTTTTTTCTCGTTATCGCTTTTTCACATAATCATGTAAAGCGGAATGTGGTAATTACACCTCTCTGCAATAATACGCAGAACTTTAAAGATATATTGTAATTGCGGCAAAAAACAATATTTCCACTTGGCCTTCATACATACAAAAAATATTTTAATAATGTGTATGTGATTTGGAAAATAAAATACGAAAAAGTCGAAAGAAATTGTTTAGCCATGTCAAATGAAACAGACAACACGCATTAAATTGAGTCACGGATAATGTGTTCTATGTACAATTAATGTTGAATTGAAGCATATTCAAGGCTTGATTGGAGAGGTGTAATAAAAAAATAGCTTTAAGTGAAACGTTCGAATTCGTTCAAAACGAACGAATCGAAAGCCGCCGCGGGTGAAAGACATTGGGGCCTAATGAGTCGTGCAGCCGGCCTTAAAAGATTCCATTACCTTAATACCGCAAAAAGGTATTTTGCCGCCGTCTATAAAGACTTAAAACGTCATTGAATTATTGTACACCAGCTCTTACTCGGTGATTCGCTCTTTATCATCTTAATGAAATGAAATGTATTTAATAGTAAAATATAATAAAATAATAACTATTTAAATTCGAATTTGAAAATGAAATATGGACACACATATAAACTATACCCTTAATGATATTCTTATCCTTTAATCGAGCAATTCTTGTGTATTCGTGTCGTGTTCTTCATATATATATAACATAGACGTGTATTTTGGTTATTTGGAGAGTTTTAGGGCGTCACAACTGGAACCGAAATGAGAAAATTGCCGCGCAATTAAAATAGCTGTGGGATTGTTGAGGGAAAACCTTACAGTTTACTTTGTAGCCCGGTCTGGAAACTTTCAATGCTCCTTTTGCTTCAGTAATTACTTCCTTGTCTGTTTGCGGACGAAGCGTCTGCAGAGAGAATGCGATATTTCACGATGGCAGACATTACTAAAGATCTTCGCCAAAACTCAAAGTGCCTGAGCACGAATATTATTATTCATTATTTTTGTTCATAAAGCAAAAACATGTCTGTATTGCCACAGAATGAGCAGAGAATTTGTTTTAGTGCAACATTTAGCTGATCGATCACTTTTTGGCACGGGCTACGCCAATGGCCGAAACGTAGGTAAATATTATAAATTTGAAGTTAATGTAATATTGGTTAATTGATAATTTGGAGTGTCTGTTTGTAATATTCAAATAACCGCTTTTTACTAAATGCATATGGATGTATACACGGTACATATACCAAAATAACAATTTTTACAATTTTTGTCTGTCTGTCTGTCTGTTTGTTCCGGCTAATCTCTGAAACGGCTGGGCCAATTTTGACGGGACTTTCGCTGGCAGATAGCTGATGTAATAAGGAGTAACTTAGCCCACTTTTAGTTTAAATTTTTTTATTTTAAATTCCACGCGGATGAACGTCGCAGGCCCAGCTAGTATGAAATAATATTGGTGATTTACTATTTTTATATTTTCTGAGTATTGTGCACGTCTCTTGCGATGTGTTGACTAATCTCTTCCAGATTGCCTTATCGTTTGAAACTAACATTAAAGGCTTCTCCATCACTTTATCTCATATCCAAACTTTTTCATTTTCAACGCTATTTCATAGGATGGCACGGCGCAAATAAACAACAATGAATCCTTTATCATGTTAAATGGAACGATCAAGAAACGTATCAAAGCTTCAATAGTGAGTGAATCATTTGTTAGGCGAGAAAGATTCTCCAAAAATATTCAGTCTGGTCCGGTACTTTTCGAATATAACATTGTAATATCGTTCAATATTACATGTTGTATCAATTTTATTCGTTGCCATAAATAAAGGGGAATGAATTACAGTGTCATAAAATTAACAAAGATCAAGTAAATGACAGTAAAAGGCAGGAGGAGGTGGTAGACTTATAAACTTATAATTGTCGTTAAAAAGCAGTACACGAATTAAAATTTAATTTAAAAATTACCAACTAATTGTGTAAAGAAAATACTTAAAATATTTTATAGTGTTTAAATAAGTATTAAATTATGTAATTTCATGGTTCAGAATTCTTGCATCTACTACACGGGGAAGAAAACTTATTTAAGATGGTAAAACGATATGTGTAAATCAAATTAATCGTATTTATACTGTTTATTTAACTGTGGTGGGTCCCACACTAGTCGCTCTTGCACAAATGGGCAGGTGCGTCCGGGGGAGTATCAACCATTTGGTCTCGTGAGTGAGGTAACCTACGGGTGTTGCTAAATGTTCATAGGTGGCGGTTATCTCTTAACATCAGATGAACCGCCAGCTCCC